TTGCAGTGTGGCAGGCTAGACAATTAACTTTACAGAGTTGGCAGGCTAGGCAATATAACCACAGAGTGGCAGACTGGACAATATAACTTTAAAAAAAACAGTGTGGCAGGCTATACAATATAACTTAATAGTGTGGCAGGCTAGGCAATATAGCAGGCTAGACAATATAACTTTACAGTGTGACAGGCTAGAGAATATAACTTTACAGTGTGGCAGGCTAGACAGTGTGGCAAGCTAGACAATATAACTTTATAGTATGGCAGGCTAGACAATTAAATCATTAGTCTTTACGTGAACTACTACTTGTATATCAAAACCCATAGAAATAACTACTGACAATTTTTAACAGAACTAAAAGGCAAGCATGACACAAAATCAGCAGAATTAGAGTTCACTAGCACTTAAAATTAAAAATAACAAGCAATTATCATAGTATTGCAAGCAATCCATAAGTCCCCTACCGGTAAGAGCCCAAGCAACATTCTGAAGGGCCATTGGCCATTCACTTAGGTTCCTATGTTAAGTGTTGAAAAAGTTCTTTAAAAGTGATCACAGAAACAGTTTTTTATGTACAGACAGACAGACTGAAGGACACTCTAAAGTTATTTTTAAACATCCCTGTTATCAAATTATTACATTTTAAAATCCTATCATGATTGAAGAAGTGGAGTAAAAATTACCAATTTCTCAAAAAAAAAGTCTAAGTTCAAAAGGGGCATAATTCTGGAAATAGTCTTGCTAAGTATTGAACACTCACAAATGTTGAGTGATAATAAGAAACATTTATATGAAGTTTGAAGTAGATACATTCAGAAAAAGAAGTTATTAAAAAAACATTGTTTTTTTTTCATGAAAATTTTAAGTTCAAGGGAGGTAATTCTGATAAATTTTGTGCTAGAGTTGTAAACTTTGTCACATACGATGTGGTTGATGACAAGCAATTTATACTTAAAGTTTGAAGAAAATACCTTAAGAAATAAAGAACTTAAAGTGAAAAAACTAGAATCAGAAATCTTGAAATTCAGTCTATTTGTTGCCATAGCAACCAGAATTTTCAACATAGGAAGATAAGAAAAGAATGTGCATAATTTCTATACTGCCATCTACCCATATGTCAAGTTTCATAAACATATTTTCAGTACTTTTTGTGTTATCACTGGATCCAGGTTATGTGTAAAATTTGCCATATTTTCAGTATATTTGTTGGCATAGCAACCAGAATTTTTAACATAGGAAGGAAAGAAAAAGACGTGCATGATCTCCATACTGCCATCTATCCATATATCAAGTTTCATAAAAATATTTTCAGTACTTTTTGCGTTATCGCGGGATCCAGGTTATGTGTAAAATTTGCCATATTTTCAGTCTATTTGTTGCCATAGCAACCAGAATTTTTAACATAGGAAGAAAAGAAAAAGACGTGCATAATCTCCATACTGCCATCTATCCATATATCAAGTTTCATTAAAATATTTTCAGTTCTTTTTGCGTTATCGCGGGATCCAGTTTTGTGGACGGACGGACTGACGGACGGACAGACGGACGGACAGACAGACGGACGGAGGGTAAACCTAAAGTCCCCTCCGGTAAACCGGTAGGGGACTAATAAATTACATTGACAGTACAAACATATATCATCCCTGTGACAAGATTTCATGTAGTATTTTTTTTTTTAAATAATAAACCGGCACTCCTTTTATTGATCATTAAAGTACAAGGTAATTGTATTTGCTAGGGGTGTGGGGTTGCCAACAAAGACTTTTGTGTAATGGTGTTAATTATTTTTTCAGGTGATGTGGAATTCTTTTAATGTCTCACCTATATACTATTAGTGATAAAAGATTTTTGACAGGTTATAAGTCCCTATATAAATGGTTGTCAGGAAATATAACCCGAGTCGCTGGTATCTATACTACACCAAACATATAACAGTAGAATCAGTGAATAAGTAGATATTGAAGTCAGTTAACAGATTGATAAATAGTGACACCAGTAGAATAATGAACAGAGATAGTATTAGTAACTTAGCACTGATTATAGAATATTTTTAATACTTCATGCAGAAGGGTACATTGTGATGGGGGCTTTGCCCATTTTGATTTGTGATTGATAAAGCATGAATTTCTTGAAATCATGAAGTTTGAGCGTTATTTTCTATAAAATTATGAAGTTTAAGTGTTATTTTCCATAAACATAAGTTTAAACATTATTTTCCTTTAAAGGTCTTTTCCTTAAATTTTGAAACTTTTGCATTGTAAAAGAAGCTCAAAATTGACACAATTTATGAAAGTCATTTTTCAACCCACAATAAAATATTTACTTCAAGGGGCCCCATTGAGAGTTTTTGACAAGGGACTGAAATATTTTTACGAGGTTAATGTTTCTTTTCATGTAAGTCTGGACCAAAAGCTTTGTGTACAAAATTTCAGATCATTCGCTCACTCTATTTTTCCAGAAAAATTATTATTATTTCTAAACATTGAAAAATGCAATGCTTTTCACTCAAATTGGACTGAGAATAGCACAAAAATACCATTTAAAATTCATTAATTATCATTTGCATATCTTTCTGTGTCCTAGCTGTTCTATGTAAGAAATTCAAATTTTATATTCTTCTGCTGTACCTCAGTGGAGTTCCTTTAAGATATTTTAACATTAAATTTTTAATAGCTTGATTTCATCCATTTAAGAATAACTTGAAACATTTTTAGGGGATAGGGTACTGAACACAGCTAAATAAACTTGGAAATATTGTGTAATACTGTTTTGTAGCAGTAATCATACAAACCATTGATTGTGAAAGCGGCATTTCTTTTAGTTTTGGACATGTGAATGGGACCTGTTCAAACTATAAACAGTTATTTATCAGGAGGCCCTGTTATACAGAAGCAACAAATACCCCATACAGTCAAATCTTTACTTACCGAGTTTTAAGAAATTAATTTTCGAGCGAACCAAGTGTTTATAACCTATAACTGACTTACAGTTAGCCCTGCCCATTCAAATCGAGTTCATTATGTAAATAGGCGGAGTCAATTAAATCAGCTAATTTAACATATAAATTTAGCACATACAGTTGAGTTACAGCACTGTATTGTAAATATTTTGGCAAAATTTAAACAAAATAGAGCGATTTCATTGGAAGACAAACTCTGGGGAACTGTAAAGGATATAACTTACCAACAGCAGTAGAATAATGGTTGGGAAATGATTTATCGGTTCTCACTCTCATAAATTTCCAGCTGTTTATTGAAGGATCAAAACAACATTCTATAATCTTCTTATCAAGCTCTTTCAAGTCTTTAGAAAACTGCAAATCAAAATAGACAACAGACATATTTCATCAACATGAATTTCCATTAGTATATTAATTCAATAAATAAGATCTTTTGATCCTTGATGACTTTTAACAAATGGTATTGCCAAAAGGAAAATCTTTTTTTCATAGTATGAAAATCTTTATTTTTAAATATACATGTACAGTCAAACCTGTACTAGCAGTCACCTCTTTTTATCTGAATGGCCATTTTGTGATGCCCGACAAAATCACTATTTTATACATCTGGTCAGCGGTCACCTGCTATCCGCAGTCAAAGGTCATCTCAAATGCTTCCGGAATCTAAAACTCTTAAAAGGTCAGTGTCAATTGAGGTGTACTGTTAGTACAGGTTTGACCATACAGTCAAGGTGTATTGTTGGTACAGGTTTGACCATACAGTCAAGGTGTACTGTTGGTACAGGTTTGACCATACAGTCAAGGTGTACTGTTGGTACAGGTTTGACCATACAGTCAAGGTGTATTGTTGGTACAGGTTTGACCATACAGTCAAGGTGTACTGTTGGTACAGGTTTGACCATACAGTCAAGGTGTATTGTTGGTACAGGTTTGACCATACAGTCAAGGTGTACTGTTGGTACAGGTTTGACCATACAGTCAAGGTGTATTGTTGGTACAGGTTTGACCATACAGTCAAGGTGTACTGTTGGTACAGGTTTGACCATACAGTCAAGGTGTATTGTTGGTACAGGTTTGACCATACAGTCAAGGTGTAAAGTCAAACTCAGATTTGTAGAGCCTGAGCAAATTTGTTTGAGAGATCGGTGGTTCAAGTGAACAATGGTTAAAGTATTAGCATGTATACTAAGATCTTTTACATTTGACATCTGACGGTAATCCTGGTTATAATTTAGTTTACACTTCTATACATCATGACATTTGGCAGAATGAAAAATACCCCTACAAAATTTGAGTGTATCTAATATTTCATTTGTCTTATTACATTTTGTACTAAGAATTAATGTCATAAAAAGTAAGTTCCTATGTTTTCATATGCAATAATTCAGCTCAGTCAAGTATTTATGGTACATTGTGGTAATTTATTCATGTGTTATATTCATGCATATTGTACCTGTTTGCATTTACTTGAATTAACATATACAAAACTAGGTGAACAATGTTCAAAATACAAATATATTTATGTTTAATATGGTATGAATAGTTTTTACAATAACAATTTTAACCATTTTATATAACAAGAGGGCCATGATGGCCCTGAGGTCGCTCACCTGTATAAAGGCCCCCGGAGCGGGGCCAGTTTAAACCCCAGGGCTTTTATTTGAACAAACTTGGAAGACACTCATTAGAAGATGTTTCACAATGTTAAGTTTTTACTACACACATGTAATGAAAAACAATGATCTCACCTGCCCCTCCTCCCCCCCCCCGGCAGGGCCAATTTTCACCCAAAGGCTTTTATTTGAACAAACTTGGTAGATATCCATAAGAAGATATTTCATGCTAAACATCTAAGCTCTAGCTCATTGGGTTTTTTAAAAGAAGATTTTTAAGTTTTTACTACACACATATAGTTAAAAACAATGACACCCCTGGGGCGGGGCCAGTTTTGACCCCAGGGCTTTTATTTGAACAAACTTTGTAGACATTTACTAGAAGATGTTTCATGCTTAATATCTAAACTCTAGCTATTTGGGTTTTTTCAAAGAAGATTTTTTAAGTTTTTACTATATGCATATAGGGAAAATCAATGACCCCCCGGGGCGGGGCCAATTTTGACCCCAGGGCTATTATTTGAACAAACTTTGTAGACACTCACTAGAAGATGTTTCATGCTTAATATCTAAACTCTAGCTATTTGGGTTTTTTCAAAGAAGATTTTTTAAGTTTTTGCTATACACATGTAAGGAAAACCAATGACCCCCAGGCGGGGCCAATTTTGACCCCAGGGCTTTTATTTGAACAAACTTGGTAGACACCCATTAGAAGATGTTTCATGCTGAATATCTTAGCTCTAGCTCTTTGAGTTCTTTCAAAGAAGATTTTGTAAGTTTTTACTATATGCATATAGGGAAAATCAATGACCCCCTGGGGCGGGCCAATTTTGACCCAAGGGCTGTTATTTGAACAAACTTGGTACACACTCATGAGAAGATGTTTCATGCTGAATATCTTAGCTCTAGCTCTTTGGGTTCTTTAAAAGAAGAATTTTTAAGTTTTTACTATATGCTTATAGGGAAAATCAATGACCCCCTGGGGCGGGGCAAATTTTGACCCCAGGGATTTTATTTGAACAAACTTGGTAGACACTCATTAGAAGATGTTCCATGCCAAATATATAAGCTCTAGCTCTTAGGGTTTTTTAAAAGAAGATATTTAAAGTTTTTTCTTTCGGTTGCCATGGCAACCAGAGTTCTGCATGGAAATAAATTCTTTGAACAATTTTTAAAGGTGACCACCAAAGGAACATTCCTGTGAAGTTTGGATGAAATTGGCTTAGTGGTTTATGAGGAGATGTCATTTAAAGTAAAAGTTTACGGACGGATGGCCGGACGCCGGACGAAAAGCGATCACAAAAGCTCACCCTGTCACTTTGTGACAGGTGAGCTAAAAATGGAGCGTCTTTGTAGAGAAACCTACTGGATTCATAAGCTAAAGACGTTTTCACCATCTGGATTAAATGCAAAAATTATATAGTAATTACGACATTTAATTATTTCCGTAGGTTCTTTTGCGTGGACATTCCATTATAAAATGGTTATATACTATTTCCAATATAATACTTCATCTGTTTTATGCATGTATACACGTTACGTAACATTCACTTTGATTCCTATTATTGTTTTTTATATATTTTATATAGGAAATACTTGCATTTCATAATCCGTGAATCGAAATCTTTATCATTATTTTTTTAATGGATTTTAATATAACGTAACGTAACAATGTATATTTCCCGCCATCTTGGACGTTGACGTCGTGTGACGTCTCTTCCTGTTTATTCACTTCCTGTTTATTCACTGACGAAGAACATACTTGTTCGAAATCGATTTGAATAAAAAATAATTGAATGTACGCGTGTGGTTGGTCTTTTTGGAATCATAACCATTTTATATAGAATGCAATACAAGTACAATTTAAGACAGCATGTATATTATTATTATATTATGTTTTATTATGATTATGAAAGCATTTTGTCAACTTTCATAAGACAGCATGTATGTGTATTATACTGCAAAATCATTGGGGCACTATGAAATTCTATTTTGTCTGCTGTAATATTATTTCACATCACATTATTTACATTTTACCAATTGGAAAAATAAACAGTCCATGAATTAAAGTACCCACAGTAATGTTCTTTATGACAAAACCAAAAAATTTCATGTTCACGAAATTAAGGAAATTCACGGTTATTGAAAATTAACACATACAATTATCATTCTATAAATAGATCAAGTCTGATAGCATAAGTATCAACATAGGTACAATATGCTTCTAATAATATATACAAAATCTTCATACTGTCATTATTTATATATTAGTATCATAAACAAAACCTAATTTTTTTCCAGATTTCACAATCTAAAACAACACTTACAGACAGACAGACAGAAAGGATTGGACAGTACAGGACAGATGAATGGACATATAGACAGACATTAAATCACTGAACTCAGGACTACATTACCTTCATTTCTGAAAATGGTTTATCCAGTCCTGTTACATATAAATAAGCTCTTTTAGTTTTCAACATACTGAAAATAGAATGACGAAATAAAATTATACTAAACGATAATAATAATATATCGCGGTTACTGGTATGATATATTGAATGCATCCATTACTTTTTTTACATTAATGTTGGGTTTTCAGAAACATAAACACAAATATATCTATAATTTCAAATCATTGTTGGCTCCCGAGATATTATAACAAGAGGTCCATGATGGCCCTTATAGCACTCCTTAGAGTTAATAGGAAAATCTGCAAAGTCTTCTCTACAAATATATATAGGAAAATACAACCCTATCACATTATCTTGTTACATAGTCATCTATAATTCATTCCTTATAAATCATATCAAAATCTGATCAAAATATTTAACCAAAATGATTGCCATTGCTTTTTGTATATACATAAGGCAAATGTTTTATTAAGTAAGCCTAGACTGATAAGCATCAGTGCAGTTCAGGTTTAACTCCTTTCAATTTTAACATAAGTTAACCTGCTACTGCACTAAGGTGAGGAAATATCAGAATAAAGATAAAATTAAAATCTCACCCCTCACCACCAGCATCTATTGTTATAACCAACTTAAAATCCACGGAATTCAACTCCGGGGGTTTCCATTTTAAGACGTCTTTACATCGACCAGGATGATACGGCTGCAAGAGACAAATATAAAACATTCTGAATTGGACATTTACATTTGTTAGCAAACAATCTTATTATATATGACTTCAAGTAACATGCCAGATGAGCATGTTAAAAACTAGAATGGTGTTTATAGGACATAGAGCCCTCACATACTCCACTGTCTAATGACATACAGCAGGACAGTATGACAGAGGGAAATTCTACATGACTACCAAGTGGTTGGGACATAAAAATGACATCCAATTGTTTCGACTTTTCAAATATAAATAATTTCAAATATCAATTTTACATCCTGAAGTATGCTTAAAAGAAAATAAAAAAAAAGCAAAACCCCTAATTCAAAACTACACATGTTAGCCACGGTCCTGTAAAGTTTCATGACTCAGGCATCTATGCAGAACCACCAACATTCAGTAAGCTAGCTAGATAGATTCCTCAAAAAAAAGATTTCAAGGTCCCTGACAAGATTCAAACCTACAGTGGTGAGTGTCAATTGGTTTGATGTCAATGACTTCAACCACTCGGCCACAGATGCCCCTATTTATACAACTATAAGGTATAAATATACTACTACAGTAATGTAAGGAACGTACATCAGGTACTGGTTGAAATACTAATCCATCTACTTCATGACTGACTTGACTAGCAAAATCTCCATCTAATATCTGTAAATATAAACCAGTTATTGGCAAATTAAACTTACATCATTTTTCTCTCATTTCATTTATTTTTCAATTATTTTTTAATTAATTGTAGACAATTTTCAAATACAATTCTGAACAACACACTGTTTAAGGAAAATCTATAAAAAGACTGATAACATCAAATGTTTTATTTTCCATTATGTGACAAGTTAAAATTACAATTCTGAGTACATTATTTTTCTCAGTTGATTTTGTTATGAATATATATAAATATAATATGTGTACAAGAAACAATGTAGTTTGTAAATTCCTGCAAACTTTCAACCATTTTTTATCAAGTTAACAGAGGGAGTAAATAGGAACAGCATTGTTCATAGACAACTATATAGAGTGCTTTAATTTCTTCTTTGTGTATAAAACTAAACATGCATGTTATTTCAGTATATTGTATATCAACCACCAAAAAAATCATTCTTGTTGAGCTTTAAAAAAAAAATCTATTAAGTGATTTAAAGGAGATGTCATTTAAAAATTATTTTTATCTTCAACTCTGGTATCCATTTTGTTATTTTTTTTTCTTGGTTGGGTTTAACGTTGCACAAAAACAATGAAGGTCATATGGCAACTTTCATCTTTACTGGTGAAGGAAGACCTCAGGTGCAACTCTGTGTATTATTTCAAGTATGAATGGGCTCCTGAGTAAAAACCATTGGCGTTCAATAAGCTAGCTGTATAGCCTCCGCACTTGAAGAGTGAAATGTCCCAGGCGAGATTCCAACCCACAACGGTGAGGGGCAAGTATTTGAAGTCAACAACCTTAACCACTAGGCCATTGATGCCCCATCCATTTTGTTAAGCAAACTGGAAAATGTTACAATATATTTGTTGAGCCAACAATAATTCATGTTGAGTTTAGAACAAAGCTTCCTCAGGTGAGCTAAGAAATTTTATCTAGGAAGAAAATGTCAATATATTTGTATGTAAAACAAACCTTTCGTGCAGTAACCACATCCCAGAATGGTTTAATGCGCACACTAAATGGTTCCTTAGTTTTATCGAGTGCCCCTTGTTGCACCTTGGTATTTCTAGCACCGACTATTTCTTTATTTATACACAATACTCTAGTATTAAAATCTGTTTTACCAACATCTTGGCCCTGTTGTAAAAATAAAACACAACATTTATCATCTCAGAAGTATAAAATCAACCTCTGTTAACTTTTAAGTGGAAAATTCACAATAACTGCGCAGGTTGACATAAATTGCTTTAAAAACCAGCATATAATTTTAAATTAACTAAAAGGCATGCAAGGTCCAATGATGCCCCCAAACACCCCTTCCCAACCCACTTCAATTGTCTTTCAGAGATAAGCATATTTACATATTTTATGAAGGTTTAGTGTTACTTTAATAAGTAAGTTATAAAAAAAAATAGAATTTTAAATTGTCAATTTCACAAACCTTTTTAGATAAGGTGTCACTTTTACCATGACCTTATGACCATTATAATGGATGGCATTGTGCCTCAAACTTAAGAAATATATATTTATAAATAGAATTTGTATGGTAAATGATACCACTGTACCTAAAGTATGAAAAACATTGGTAACAAAACGTCACATCTCACCTCAAATTTCACTATATCATACACGAGATAGCGGGGTACATTTTTCCCATTTACTGTATCTTGAATCATTTCACCATCTAGTAATGTGTTGTTTACATGGTCATCAAGATTTTTTCTCTTCGGAAACTGTAAAACAAACAAATGATTTGTGAAGGCATTCCTACTAATTTCTATTGTATCATATTCTTTAGCATTAGACATTATTTATTTATATTTTTCATGACTTTAGCTTATTAATTACTTAACTTAAATGTAAATTTTAAGAATTTTTGTAATTATTAAAAGGGGCATAACTATGTTAGAATGTGAAACTTGGCCTGCTAAAAAATTTCAATTTGACTCTCTGAGAAACTCAAATAAATACAAACTTTGGGACATTTTTTCTATGTAAGCAAGGGACATAACTTTTTAAACTGCAAAAGAGTTGTGAAGTTTGGCCTACTGCGCATTCCTGTTTATGATTTCTATGGACAGGGCAAGTGCTTATAAGCCCTATGTAAGGTACAAATTACAAATGTTTCCTATATATTCATAACTTGCCTGAAATCTATGGAATACTGTATTATCTCTGTCTAACATATATACATGTATATATTTTATAACGTACCTGTAAATTAGGCACATGGAATACTGTATTATCTCTGTCTAACATATATACATGTATATATTTTATAACTTACCTGTAAATTAGGCACATGGAATACTGTATTATCTCTGTCTAACATATATACATGTATATATCTATAACTTACCTGTAAATTAGGCACATGGAATACTGTATTATCTCTGTCTAACATATAAACATGTATATATCTATAACTTACCTGTAAATTAGGCACATGGAATACTGTATTATCTCTGTCTAACATATATACATGTATATATCTATAACATACCTGTAAATTAGGCACATGGAATACTGTATTATCTCTGTCTAACATATAAACATGTATATATTTATAACGTACCTGTAAATTAGGCACATGGAATACTGTATTATCTCTGTCTAACATATATACATGATCTTTACCATTTATCAACATCATAAACCTAAAAATAGATAAAAAAAATAAACATCATGATGTTATAATGAAATCATGACAAATTGTAGAAATATAAATTATGATGTACATAATATTAATATGCTTCAGTATCACAATATTAAACAGACAGGCACATAATTATATAGTTGTGTGTGTGTATTTGAGTTCATTTATACTCACCAACGGTTGCCCATGTGGGCAAGACTTCTAGAAGAGTACAAGTCCTTTCAGTTTTTGGAGGATAGTACAAGATACAGAAAGTTGCCCCAATTCCAGAAGCTTTTCCTGGTACTTTAGTGAGCTAAGTTTTTAAGCACTTGAAAACAAGACCTTGATTTAAATTCTCATCAGAAAGACTGGGTGCGTTCAGGGTTCTACCATCGGCAACAAAGCTTACTTACCATCGGCTACCGATGGTACCATTGGTAGCCGATGGTACCATTGGTAGCCAACTTACTCTGAACGAAAATAGGTACATGTATCTTTGGTAAACAAAAATGGCTTATGATCAACACCACAGAGCGAGGCGGGTTATTCCTGCTATGATAATGCTCCAAAAACAAAACTATGAGCATGTATTGAGTATTGTAACATCTAGCATATCAAACTGTGATGCCATGCTAGGTGTAATAAAGCAAAGGAGAGATGTTTTACCGATAATACAGCACTACTATCAAGAAATCGTCCCCATGTATTCATTGGATGACTTCAAGAGTCACTTCCGTCTCTCTCGTCACTCTTTCCAAACACTGCTAGTGCAGATGGAGAAAGCGCCAACGTTTAATCGAGCAAATGGCCCGTCAGTGAATACTGAGAAGGAACTTCTGATGTTCCTGTGGTATGTTGGTACGTGCAAGTAACATGATCGCGCAACAACTCCATAATAACACTAAATAGCGATATAATATTCAAGTGTTTAAATGGTATCTTCATTAGCCATATGGAAATAGTGATATGCCCATTTCAAGGCTCCCAAAAATAGCGCTGTATTGGAAATCAGTGTGTATGATGATACAAAGTTCTCTTCATGGTTAAAGATGCCGTTATGCGTCAGAATAAATAAACATAATATTTTATAATAATAAAATGATTTATGTTACAAGTATTTTGAGACGTTTTCTCCGATTTCTAACGATTAACCTTTTTTTGCTTTGCGCAGATCTTTGTCCGCCATTTTTGTTTGACTGAAAACGAGGCTACCAAAGCTACCCGACTTGTATACTCGCGGGAGAAATGGCTACCAACAAAATTTCCGTCGTTATACCGATGGTTACCGATGGTTACCGACGGCTACCGATGGCTACCTATAGTACCAATAGGTACCGTTGTTAGAACCCTGAACGCACCCACTGATTGGTAATTTTAGTTGGCCAGCCTGTGAATGGAACACGCTATGTTGTGATTACAACCTTGCGCTCTAATCCATTCAGCTATGCGGGCTAATTCTAATACTATACAGGTTTTTAACAGGGACGTGCTTTGTTTCACAACAATGCACTTGTTTGTCTTATTGCCTCCATCGTTTATTACCCATTTTCGTTACTTTAACACAGCATTCAAGTGTATATATGTTTAGTTTATACAAATTTACTTTAGTTTGATTGTGTTTGAAACTATAAGCTTATTGAAACACTCTCGAATCAGTTCCCGGAACCAACCATTACTAAGCAGTGAGCGTAAAATATCTAGTTCATAGAAACAATGCCTTGCCCCTGAAAAGGTTTGAATCCACACAGCCAACAATCCTTAGATTTCTAGTCTGGCACGTTAACCACTTGGCCACACTGCCATTCTTGATATAATATACATGTTTATTGAGAAATGTTTGCAGGAAATATATCTGACAGTTCCATCACTATATACATGTGTCTGAAATAGTTTGGTCACCTCAGTTATAATTAACACACCGTTTTATTGTTGTTTTTTAACTTTTTTGCATGAATCATTGACCAAGTTATCTGCTTCAACTCTGAATTATTTTTCTTCCAGGAAATTATAGTGTTGATAAATTTGTCATCAAATTGTAATCTTGTATAATAATAAATATATACTAAAACTTCATGAACATGTCCAAAATTTTCCATTCTCAAAATATTTGTGGAAATAGAAGAATCATCAAACACTTTTTTTCAGCTCATTGGAAGAACCATCAAACTGTTGCTATTAACAACACCGAAGCATAAACAAATATCACCACCCTGAATGTAGTCCAGCAATATTGCTTTCGTGATGTGTTAGAATGGAAATGAATCTTGGTTTTAAGTGATTTGTTGTATAATATTGCACAGTATGTCGTTTAATTATTTGTATTTAATCATTCAGGCCTATGGCCATTGTGACAATATTGTTATATATTTTCTGTAATACGATGTGGCTACTCCTACATTTGGTAATGTTTTCTTTACTTTTCTTTCTTGCTGGTACTTTTATACTTGCCAGATTTAAGAAATAACCCAGCTTTTTTCTAAACATACTGTAACTACTGAAAGACACGGCACATACCTGGTTCCATCTGCTTTCCAGCTACATTTGTACGGTTTCTTCCGCAGGAAGTCAAGGTTTGTGATATCCATAGAAACTGGTTGAGATCCAGGGAAACCTGACCTATATATAGAAACAAAGATAGTGAATATTTCAAGAGTGAGACTAATAACAGTGTTGGAGCACCACACTAAATACTGTATTCCGGTATATACCGGACAAGGGGCATGAACGATTAAATGCTTAAATCACACTTTTACCCACCAAAATGCACTTAAAGATGTCTAATTCATCTGTTCACACTGATTAATATATACGTTACTGAAGGAAAATTTAAGAATCAGTGAATGGAGCAAAAACTCTCAATTTTCACAATTTAAACTAATTACAATTTACAAGTAGACAAAAAAGGCAAAGTTCATGTGTTTTAGATAAATAACATTGAATCAAATCATTAGATACCAAATATGACAGAATCTACTGAGCCTAAGAATATTTATATATGTTTTTTCCTAACACAAAATTGATGATTTGTCAGTTGTGGATAAATATGATTTTGTAAAATGCATTTCGGTAACTGATTATTTGACTAGTTTGCAAATGGCTATATCAGAAAATCCAGATCGGCTGGAAGGCGAACCAGAGTTGAGGACACTAAGGCCTATATGTTAAAGATCAGGGCAGCATTTCAGAAAAAGTCCTAGGCATATCTTAAGTCCTAGGACATAAAATAACTTTTATAGTAACAAAAAATATTTCAATATTTTACCTTCAGTCAAATACTGAAGACTATAAATAAATGCATTCTCCAGAGAAAAGTTAAGAAATACAATGACAGATCCTTTCATTCACAATGTGTAAATGCCCATCACCATTGCTATTCATAAATTAAAAGAGTCATAACATAGGAGTCATAAGTTATGACATTTTCTTTGAAAAGTTTTGGTCTTAAAAATCAGTCTTAGGACTTTCTAGCAAAGAAGTTTTGTCAGATTGAGAAAATAAATTGAGAATATCAGGAAAACTAGGGGATGTGATATGATTAAACAAACAACTTGAATAACGATGTATCAATCTTGTATAAAGTTATAAACTTGAGACTAACCCTTTCCATTCACACATCTCCTGAACTTTTTGTTGAACTTGTCCAAGTAAAGGTTGATCTGTCACCTGTTTAACACTTGTCACTCCATCAACAAACTTGGCATTCTGATATAGAAACAGGTAATTAATAATATAAATATAGAATGTAAATTTTTATTCACAGCTGTAACATATGTTTTATAATACTTAGAAAATTGTTTTGCAAACTTTTTTTCTAATTTTCATTTCCCTTGTTTTATTTATATTTTTTTATCTTTTTTTTTCAATTGTAACAGCATTTTTATATACTTACAAATGAAATTTTAAGAAATATTGATGAAATAAAATGTGTATTTTCATTTTTCCATATTTTCACTGTAAAAATTTATTTTTCACTGCAGTGAAACATATTTTCCTTATTTTCAATGGTGTCTTGCTGGACTACCTTTTTTTAATTCTGCAAGTAGATTTTTATGTCAAACAAAAGAAAAATGTATATAATAAACAGAAAATTCAAGTTTTTTTATAAATACATGATTTATTTTCATCTTGTGGCATCAAAATTATCATATTTCATTCTTGGCTAAAGCCACTCATGAAATACTTATTTTCATACCACTCGATGAAAATAAATCATCTATTTATAGAAAAAACTTGAATATCCTCTATTTAGCTTACCATTTTCACAACCTCTTTTTTAAAACGTTTACGTTTGCCATTCTGATCTGATCCGTCTTCACCTATCATGTTACCATCATCATCTATACCGTCTTCAGATTCTATATATACAACATATAAACTCATGTACAATAGCCAATAATACTATATTAAATTGTACATTGTGAATATTACTATACAAGACAAATATAGGACTTATGACACTGACAAACATCAAAAATAAACACACTCATATTCTTAATTGTAAATAATGAAGGTCATAAGTTGTATAATAAATGTTCTTTTTTTCTGCCAACAATTTAAGCATCTTACAGAGGCTTTCTGCTTTCCTAACTTTTAATTATGCTAATTTTTGATAAACTGATTAATATTATTGTCAAATTAAAAGAAATGGAAAATGAAATCTGTTGATGATACTATGCATTAACAATATGGAAACTTCTCAATATCTCTTATCTACTGGTCTGCTCAATGTATTTTATAATTTAATAAGTAAAGCTGATGATTCGTTTCCCAGAAATGAACATCAATGGCACCTATAAATAGCTCTTGGGACACTGTTTTAAAGAAGGTTTACCAGTTTTGATACACATATTTAAGATGAAATTACTGAAATACTTAGTTTGAATCGACACAGAATGTTTTCCCAACAGAAAATAAAAACTGAAGTCTGCTGTAAACATCAATAGTTTTAAAATCTTGCAGAGGTCAGGGGTCAAATCATTTAAAGATAGTCACTATTATCACTAAACGACGTATGTCCTAAATATAGAGGAGATGAATGATGACATTTGTACGTACCATCACACCAGTCTGGTAAGAGGGGGGCTGCTGGTGTATCGTCTACTTCTCCATAACGATGAAACAACTCTTGTAAATAGTCTTGTTTGTATATGCCTGGTGGCCGAGCCTGCAATGTTCAGATATAAATCATACAATTAATTACTCAGTATATGACAGACTAATAATTTTCCTTTATTTCAATTGGCAGAGACACGGTCACGGTGTGCCAACAAATCAATGTGTAATATTCATGTAAACAAATCTCTGTCAATAAACATGCAACATGGCTTAGCTGAATATCAATTTCAATACTTCTACGAAGGGCCAATTCTACTGGCCGACAAACTTCAAATTTACATCTTGATATCCCCAAAAATGATAATGGAAAGTTCCAAAGATGGAAGCTGGATAAGTCTATTTAAGAAAATCAGAAGGTTAAAGGCTTATATATACATTAAAGGTAAAAGTCCCATATTGAGATTTATCAAATACCCGTGCTGATTTTGCAACTTTATAAACAAGAGGGCCATGATGGCCCTGAGGTCGCTCACCTGTATATAGGCTCCCCCCTCCAACCCCCACCCCAACGTTGCAGGGCCAATTTAACCTAAAGGCTTTTATTTGCACAAACTTGGTAGACACCCATAAGAAGATGTTTCATGCTAAACATCTAAGCTCTAGCTCATTGGGCTTTTTAAAAGAAGATTTTTTTAAAGTTTTTACTATACACATATAGTTAAAAACAATGACACCCCTGGGGCCGGGCCAGTTTTGACCCAAGGGCTTTTATTTGAACAAACTTTGTAGACACTTACTAGAAGATGTTTCATGCTTAATATTTAAACTCTAGCTATTTGGGTTTTTTTCAAAGAAGATTTTAAGTTTTTGCTATACACATATAAAGAAAATCAATGACCCCCGGGGCGGGGCCAATTTTGACCCCAGGACTTTTATTTGAACAAACTTTGTAGACACTCACTAAAAGATGTTTCATGCTTAATATCTTAACTCTAGCTATTTGGGTTTTTTCAAAGAAGATTTTTTAAGTTTTTGCTATACACATATAAGGAAAATCAATGACCCCCGGGGCGGTGCCAATTTCGACCCCAGGGCTTTTATTTGAACAAACTTGGTAGACACCTATTAGAACATGTTTAATGCTAAATATCTTAGACATAGCTCTTTGAGTTCTTTAAAAGAAGATCTTTTAAGTTTTTACTATATGCATATAGGGAAAATCAATGACCCCCGGGGCGGGGCCAATTTTGACCCCAGGGCTTTTATTTGAACAAACTTTGTAGACACTCACTAAAAGATGTTTCATGCTAAATATCTTAGCTCTAACTCTTTTGGTTCTTTAAAAGAAGATTTTTTAAGTTTTTACTATATGCATACAGTTAAACTTCGTTCGCTCGAACTCGGATCGCTCGAATACCTCCATTCGCTCGAACTCATCGCCCAGTCCCGGCAAAATTCCCATATAATATATATTGTTCTACCTCGGATCGCTCGAACACCGATCGCTCGAACTCTCGAACCTGATCTGTGGTCCCTTGGGCAGATATATAGTGAAAATCACACCTTTTCGGTCGAACACAAAAAGACAAGTCGACATGTCCTAAATAAATGACAGACGGTGACACATGTTTTTAACACCTCGTGATCGTGACAAAGGCAATTAAGGTTAATTGATACAAAATAAGAGGTGTTGTTACCGATTTGTTTGTTATGATAATATTGTAGATTTGCCGTTTATGGTAACGATAAAAAGAAAAGAACTCGTGAAATAAGTGAAATATGCAAAAGTCAATACAGAATGACGTTTACCTGGACAGCTTTAATTACAACCGTAGTTCATGTAACAGTGTTATCTACGTGTCCGTGTGTTTATTTTAGTAAATGACTACAAATAAATGCTGCTGTAAAACTTTTTCTTAAATATTTCATTTATTTTTTTAATTAAATACATCCTATTATAAACATATAAATATATTTTGAACATTGTTCAACAAGTTTGGTCTGATTGCTCAATCGAACTCAACCAATTACAATATGCATGAATATAGATTAATACAACGTACCGTTAATACTTAATTGAAAACACTGGGATAATAATTCTGAATATGACATATTCGATTAACAAACAGATGTACTAACAAGCAATTATATTTACGTATTTATCATTCGACCGATGTATGCTAGAAAACCTTTAGACATATGATCAACGTAATAATAGTTCGACCTCGAATGGCTCGAACTACCGATCTCTCGAACAAATTTGCACAGGCCCTCCGAGTTCGAGCGAACGAAGTACGACTGTATAGGGAAAATCAATGACCCCTGGGGCGGGGCGAATTTTGACCCCAGGGCTTTTATTTGAACAAACTTGGTAGACACCTATTAGAACATGTTTGATGCTCAATATCTTAGCCATAGCTCTTTGAGTTCTTTAAAAGAGAATTTTTAAGTTTTTACTATATGCATATAGGGAAAATCAATGACCCCCTGGGGCGGGGCCAATTTTGACCCCAGGGCTTTTATTTGAACAAACTTGGTAGACAATCATTAGAAGATGTTTCATGCTAAATATCTTAGCTCTAGCTCTTTGGGTTCTTTAAAAGAAGATTTTTTAAGTTTTTACTATATGCATATAGGGAAAATCAATGACCCCCCGGGGCGGGGCCAATTTTGACCCCAGGGCTTTTATTTGAACAAATTTGGTAGACACTCACTAGAAGATGTTTCATGCCCAATATCTAAGCTCTAGCTCTTATGGTTTTTTAAAAGAAGATATTTAAAGTTTTTTCTTTCGGTTGCCATGGCAACCAGAGTTCTGCATGGAATTAAATTCTTTGAACAATTTTTAAAGGTGACCACCAAAGGAACATTCCTGTGAAGTTTGGATGAAATTGGCTTAGTGGTTTATGAGGAGATGTCATTTAAAGTAAAAGTTTACGGACGGACGGATGTCCGGCCGAAATGGAATAAGGGGCCATTTCTTTTGTTATTTTCTATTGTTTAATAGAGGGCCAATGGCCCCTTACTCTATTGTTACGGAATGAACTCTATTGTTCTCTTTTGTTCTGTTTACAGTTAGATGGCCCCCTATCCCTATTTGGTAGTGCGGACGGACGGACGCCGGACGAAAAGCGATCACAAAAGCTCACCCTGTCACTTTGTGACAGGTGAGCTAAAAAGGTATTGCACGGTCGTGCATATACTTTGACATGACGTCATTTATGTTATACAAACATAGTGTAAGGAAGAGTTAAATGGCAGCATTACATTATAGGTGCCTAAATGAAACATTATTCTTTTGCACTTTAAAAAGTCTTTATTTTGGGTATGTGATAAATAGAATATTATATATTATATTGTTTATAGATAAAGAAACTCATACGTAAATTAATGAATTGAAAGAATGATGTTTTGTTTCCTTGAGCAAGAAACTTAACACACATTATGTAGTACTGGTGAGTAAGAGTAAGCTTATAGCTTCCTACAAAATCGAAACAAATGATATATAAACTAAAACATGTAATAAATAAAGTGACATACCTGAGCGTAACACTGCACAGCAGCTTCTACACTGTAATGTTACAATAAAAATAATCAAATATTTATTATATACATATACATATAATAAGTATAATAAATACTTGTACATTGGAAAAAACACACATGGACACCAGCTTAGTGTTCACAACTGTACTTTATTTGTCTAGCTATATATTTTAACTTAGTTAAATCAACCTCTGAACTAACAAGTACTGACTTCATATGACGAAACACAATCGTGACCCCAGTAAGGCTCACACTCCTGACCCCTTGGTTGAGAGGCAGACACTGTAACCACTAGGCAACCGCTCACCTTGCAAGTTAACTACAACTTATTTATAAGAATATTTAAGATATATATTTAAGAAATATGTTAGAACATTAGTAGTATATAACTCACCTCCAGTCCAGCTGTTCTATGATATAAGAGATAATGAGGAATCCTGTCCTGTTAAAACCATGAGTACAATGTACACCTGAAATAACATAAAATAGTGTTCATTATATATAGTTCTAGAGTATTATGTTCATTATATATAGTTCTAGAGTATTATGTTCATTATATATAGTTCTAGAGTATTATGTTCATTATATATAGTTCTAGAGTATTATGTTCATTATATATAGTTCTAGAGTATTATGCAAGAAAAGTAATTATCTTAATTTACATGATTTATACAAATTCATTTTAGTTTGATTGTGTTGGAAGCTATAAGGTTAACTTATCTAAACACTCTCGAATCTGTTCCTGGAACTAACCAGTACTTAGCAATGAGTGTAAAGTTCTCAAGGAAACAATAAGTTAATATAAATTTTCACTTTTGACGGAAAATTATTCAAAATAGAATGCACTGCAACAATGTAAAGTTTTAAATTCTACGCAGGACAAGTTTATTATACAAATTCATTAGTATTTATGCGTCAATTCCTTATACAATCTCATCACTGTATGCTTTGTATTTTGTCAGAAAGAGAAATACATGTAGGACCAGCTCATTACATAAATTAAGTGGTTGTGGGGTCAATTATCCACACAATCTCCCTGCTTGTCAGACAGAAAAATACTGGGTATTGTCAGATAGTACTTGATGAACAGCAATATTGTGTTCCTAGTAAATACAGTAAAAATAAAGTTTCTGTTTCAGGTTTCCCTATGTAACCTCTTTTTTTTTAAACTGCTGACCTTTGACTATTCTTCCTTTTGAAGTTTTCAAATCTTTACATTGGCTTAAGCAATAGTTATCATATCTGACCCTACACTATACAGTATCATTTTTCTTCTTTGGTTGGGTTTTACATCACACCAACACAGTAAAGGTCATATGATGACTTTCCAGCCTTACCGGTAGAGGAAGATTTCAGGTGTTCCTCTGTGCATTATATCAGGCACTAGCAAGCACCTGTGTAGAACCACCAAATGTCACTTTAATGTAATAATTGATTAACTCCTATAAGATTAAGCAGGACTTAACCCATTACTGCACAGAAGGTGACACAATGTTATGTAAGCTAGCTGAATTACAGTACATGTCTCAGAGACCAAGATAAAATTCACATAACTTTATCAAATAATGTTATAGCAATGATATGTTTATAAAATATACCTATTATTTCAAGAGGTTTCTGGTTGTTAAATCTAGCACATAACTGTATAAATGCCTCAGTCTGTTCTTTTGATGGAGTTTCTCCGTGTCTGAAATACATTTTGTAATAAGTTTATAACAATAATAACAATTCTATGGAATAATTTCATTTCACAGTCTATGACATATAAAATTGTGTTCAAATTTCATTCATCACAACCACAATTATATATATCACAACCACAATTATATATATCACAACCACAATTATATATATCACAACCACAATTATATATATCATACCCTCTGCATTGCATCTTCACATATTTACACCCCTTCTCCTCCACTGCTTTACTGTCATAAAATCTTGTTGTATTTGTCAGATCCACCACAAGGCCAAGCTTTTTCTGCAATATATGAAACATAAGCAATTGATTTTTGTACAAAAAAAATAATTTATTTTACATTAAAAAAAAGAAAGTTTCAGAAAAATCCTGTTTTTTTTTTCTCCCTTCTTTTTTCAATGAAATACTCATGTAAACTAATTTGTATCAATGCAGCTTATTATTCGTAAAAGCTCCGATTTTATAATGATATTAAATTAATAACAGTGTATGATGATACCTTCATGACTTTTGTAACAGCATAGAAATAGAAATGAAGAAAAATACAGAATTCTGAGGGGAAAAAAATGAAATGGTTTAAATGTTTAATTCAAATAATTTATCATAAGTTAACCAATCCAATTAAACCCTTAAGTAGCTATATTTAAAACTGATAATCCTTTGCCACTTGTAACAGCCAAGCTAATCTTAGATATTCAATATAACAAGCACCATTTAAATGTTCAAATAATGTGACAATAATTTGTATATGCTTCCATAACAGAGCCAAGTAAGTTTGTGCAGTCAGACAGGACTGTAGTGAAGCAGTGGTCAAGTGATTTAAGTGTCTGCCTCTCACACTAAGAAGCATGGATTCAAGCAGTGCCACAACCTTATTGTTTTATTTAACATCAGTACTGATGAACTGATTATTCCCAGGAAGAAGGAAAGTGAAAGAACTTGTTTCAAAATCAAGTTTACATAAGCAAGTACTTGTATAACATACACACAGACTTTATCCTGTAAGCTGCTAGAATAACAATTAAAGATTGAAGAATTAACTGCCTTTACCTACATTGTGTACCTAGAGCCAACTCTTATCCAGCTAGAACAAAAAATGACCAGAACTCAAACAGACCAGGTTCTTACACTGTTAGCTGACTAACTTTAGATTATCATTTTGATATCTCAAAAATTGATAACAGACAATACCAGAGATAAAAGCTGGACTAGTCCAGGTTAATGTTAAAACCAGGTGTTTGTTTATAACAAGAGTAATATAAGTTATCAACATAAAAAATAAACTGACCTTGCCATTCTTCATTGACTCCAACAACATATCAAAGTTAAATCTACATTCTTCCGGAACATCATCGTCATAACGACTGTCCAACGGTGTCTTGAATGGAATAAACTTGTCTGAGATAAATAAATTGAATATCTTTATTTGATATATAATGTACATGTATGATAAATCTTATCAAATCATATATACTTAATTATGAATACCATAACATTTTAGTACGAACATCAATTCTGACTGAGTAACTTTTAAAGTAACATTTGTAGTAAGTTTACATTTTGCCATTATTCCTTTCAATCAATAACAAGGAAATTTCACATATAGACAAGAGCTGTCAGTAGGACAGCATATCAACTATTCTCAGTGCTTGATAGTAAAAGAACCTAGTAAAATTCTAAGTTAACAAAAGGGAAATTTTTTTCTTTAAATCCATGTTACAGTCATAGGCCTTGAAGAGAGTCCTATAAATGCTCTCAAAGAAGTGTATAAAATTTCAACTTGTTTCAAAGTCAGATGTCAATGGAATATGAAAATATCTGAGGTGGTATGCAAACTTTAATGTAAATTCGAAAAAGGGGCATAATTCTGTCAAAATACTTGATAGTTACCTCCCCCTGTCTACAGGTTGGGGTCATGATGGTGAACAAGTGGGCAAAGTTTCAAAGCCATATGTCAATGGACTTTGAAAATATTTGAGGTGTTACAAAAATCTTTAACATAAGTGGTTATATCGACGCCGACGCTCGGGTGACTACAATTGCTCTACTTATTCTTATCAAATAGTCAAGCTAAAAATTTGCGTAAACAGAATAATACAATCTGAAATAAAATATAATGTGGCTATTATAAGTAGGTTTTTTACCGTTCAGTAATGATATTTTTATATACAAACATATGAAAATTTGTCATACAGGCATTTTGGAATTATTGTTTTTCAAAATGGAAACGAGGTCGGTTTTAACCATTTAGTATTAATGATACTGTGCAAATGTTCACAATTTAATGGAAAGGAAAAATACTAATATACCTGAAATAATCTCTTTCATACAGGCATATTCAGCAGGGTATACGTTAGTGCCAGTATTCACTTACCAATAATGATTTGTCCCTTCCTAGGACAATTTAACCACCTAGGTGGTGGTCCAAGTTGTGATGCTTTGTTCTTACCCATTATCACACAACCATGTTTTCTCCTGAAACTGAAAGTTGAAATTTTCATTTACATGTTTAACTTTATACATAACATCTTTTTGGATGAAAATTTTTTGCTAAATTTACTGCCATGATGTCACCCCTTCATTCTATTTGTCCCGATTTCAAATAAAGTACAGGGAGGTGTCTGATAATAATGTATTCGTCCAATATCAATTTTGTAACATGTAATTATTAGACAGCATGCTGCATATTAAACATAGTTTGCATTGCACTGAACAATCAAAACTTTTCGGCAAAACAATAATCGTTGAGGTGTTCCGATTGAAAACAGAAGCTGTGCATGTAATTCTGAATGACCTTTAACTGTTTTAAAACAAGGTCAAGTAAAATACAGTTAAACTTTGTTGCTTGAACTCGGATACCTCCCTTCTCTCTTCCAGTCCCGGCAAAATTCCTATATAATATAAATTGTTCTACCTAGGATCGCTCAAACACCAATTGTTATAACTCTCAAACCTAATCTCTGGTCCCTTCGGCAGAAATATAATGAAAATTACACCTTTTCGGTGGAAGACAAAAAGACAACAAAAGTTGCGGGTCGACATATTCCAAATAAGTGACAGTCGGAGACACATGTTTTTAACACCTTGTGATCGTCTCAAAGGCAAATAAGGTTAATTGATACAAAAAAAGTGTTGTAACCGATTTGTTTGTAATGATAATATTGTTTATTTGCGGTTAATCAGGAAACACTAAAAAGAAAATAACTCATGAAAAAGGTGAAATGTGCAAAAGTCAGTAAAGAATGACATTTACCTGGACGGCTTTAATTACAACCGTTGTTCATGTAACGTGAATTGAAACAGTGTTGTCTATTTATTGAATGATACATGTATGTGTCTTAGTAAATGACAACAAATAGATGCTGCTAAATCAAAAAAAATATTTTAATATTTTATTAATTCATTGTTTAAAATAAAATTTATCCCACAATAAACCTATAAATATATTTTGAACATTGTTCAACAAGATTTGATAATGATTGCCTAATCAAACTCACCCAATTTTTACAATATGCATGAATACAGATTAACACAGTTTACCGTTAATTATGACGTATTTGACAAACAGATATACTAACAAACAATTGTATTGACGTATTTATCACTCGACCGATGTAAGCTGGAAAACCTTTAGGCCTATGTTCTATGTAATAATAGTTCAACCTCGGTTGGCTCGAACGATTACTGGAGGTTACGTACCACGGAGGATACGTACCAGGAGGTTACGTACCATTTTTGGAGGTTACATACCACTTATATATTTTGGAGGATACGTACCATATATATATAATTTATATAAAATACAAATAATATAGAGCATAACAATTATAAAAAAAGACAGAATTTTATAACTTTAATATTACTTTTTAAAAATCACATAATGCAATTAATATAAATGCAAATGTTTTATGTATGATTATCACACATTCAGAACTGAGTAATATAACAAATCACAAACAAATTGCAAACTCCGGTAAGTAATACTGATGAATTTAATTTAATGAAATTTCGCGGCGATCAACTTTTACACAAAACATGCATGCATAATTTCTTTCTTAATAAGAAAACCTATTTACCACTTTTAAAGTGGTACGACGACCATTTTATCAGTTGATGTCTGTTCATGCTTTTGTTAAGAGTGGTGAACATGTAAAACAAGTACCTCTTGTTTTTGTATTGATGTCAAGGAGAAGGAAGGATGACTACGTTGAGGTACGTTTCTTATAAAATCAATTGAAATGAGATGAATTGAGAATTATATTTCATGTGATAGAATTCTTACGATCTTTTTTTGATTTTTCAGGTTTTTTCACAACTGAAGGAGAAACTTGGAGATCCGATGGTAGAGTTGTTTATGCTGGACTATGAAGCAGGTAAATAGCAGCTCTATTTTGTTTTTTGAAATTATTAAATTTAATGTGAAACATATATACATCCACTAATTCTTGCTAATTACTCTTTTTCAGCTGCGTGGCAGGCTATCAGACAGACTTTCCCAAACACCATCATCAAGGGGTGTGTTTTTCACTGGCGGGGCGCAGCTTGCATTCTACGTTCTGGTGCCTCTTCTTTATGGCGAGGCTCAGTTCGTCGACTTGCAAACTCGTCTCGTCTCACAGAACATGCTGACAAGGGTACGCAGGAAACAGTACAAGGCCATCCATGACAAGCTGTTCGACCTGTGGAACAAATATGAAGACGGAGAAATAACAACAAATCAACTTTTGAAAAATTCAAGTCACATCATGGGCCTGAACCAATTCCAGCAACAGTGGATGACCATTGCGGCGACGACGAAGATCTTTAGTAGATTCTGACAAGAAGACAGTAGCATCCAGGAGCAGTTTAGTGGAGCTGAAAAATATATAAATTGACGTGTTTGTATATATGAGTCTGTAAATAAAACGTAACCTGCATATGTACTGTTATCAAATATTTGTCTTGTTTATTTCAGTATATTATTATTATTCAGTGCGGATAAATAAAATATTTAAAAAAATACTTGTTAATTGTGTATTGTTGTTTCATTTCAGAGCGTGTAACATAATTATGTGTTTTTATATATGAGTCTGTAAATAAAACGTAACCTGCATATGTACTGTTATAAATTATTTTATCTTGTTTATTTCAGTATATTATTATTATTCAGTGCGGATAAATAAAACTCAAAAATATTTTAAAAAATACTTGTTAATTGTAACATTATTATTATTTTCATTTTATGCACAGTTCGGTTAACGTGTAAATAAAACTTAATGTAAATGTATATAAATATGTAACGCTTGTTTTTTTTTCAAGGTAAGTAATTTTGTCCGGTATATTAACATGCATATGAAATATTATTATATTGATTATTTTGTTTATTTCAGTTAATTTCAGTGAAATGCGTATAAATAAAAAAATAATACTATAAAGTGTTTTTTTTTATATTTACCGTGGTTTGTTTCATTGTACTGTCCATTTTAGTGTAGTGCGTGTAATTATATTAGTGTTATTAATGATTTTCATCGTTTGTTCGTTTCAGTTTTGTGTTGTAAATAAAACTTGTTTATTATCGTTAATTGGTTTGTTGTTTATACTTTTATATTCATACATATTTAATCTCATTACAAAATTAATACAATTAATGCGCGAACAATAAACCTGATAGTTTCACACCTTATCCCTTATTATCACTTTATTATAAAGTTTCAAAGTTTATTTCAATCAAAACCATTAGGCTTAAAAGCCCATGAGGCATACATATACAAAACTTTATGACGAACAGTTTATACATTTAACAATAATTTCATTTTAACAATATATCTTGCAAACAAAGTTTACTTTGGAGAAGGTTTTTTCAACCTTATTCACCCTTACCAATTGTGACATATTTCGAACTAAATTTCATGTTACCTCTTTCCAGTTTTAAAGTCAACCTTTTAACGAAACGAAACATAAAGGCGACTGACTGGAGTGAACATAATACTAAGATAAACTACATGACCAATGTACTTTTCTGTGTTATAAGACCATTGTGCTACATATGAAAGACAACTTAACACAATACACATTAATATCCATTATATAGATACAGCACCAAAAGTGATAATGCATTCGATAAATTAAAACTTTACATGATTAACAATCTAGATAAATATTTGTATAACATATACCTTATTTCAATTACCATATAATATTTCGTTACGTTTTTTAAAAGCAGTATGTATGAAAGTTCCAAGCATTCTTACTATCATCTGGTTTTCGTTATTCATCAATTCTATAAATTTGTACATATTTGGCCGTCGCCAATATTTTGATAATATATATTTATGTGTAAGTTCATCGTACAACTTGCATTCAATAATAAAATGATACTCGTCTTCTAAGACGTTACAAAAGTTACATAATCTTTCATTTACTGGTATAGTCGCCGGTCTTGACCAACGACCTGCTTCTATTTGCAGTCTATGTGACGAAACTCTTAAAGTGACATTATGCCCATTTAGGGGTATATAGTGAGTGAACGGGTGAAAGTCAAAATAAGTTTTCATTTTGCCATAATTCCTTTTAATTTAATTAATAATTTCGCATAAACAATAAATAACTCACAGATCCAAATAAAATTTCTGTAAACATCCATTAGAATTTACCTATAACGCTTAGTTTATAAAAAAAGAGTGGGGCAGTCTTTTTAAATATTAGACAGATAAATAATTTTATTCTAAACATTTTCCAACATCAAATGTTGATCAAACACCATTTTAACAGTCAATCTTTTGAAATATAAAGTCGATTCAGCTCAACTTGACCATGAAAATATGAGCATAATGTCACTTTAATCTAACAAAAGATTGACAAAATTTACTATTATATATTTCTATAGTGGTACGTAACCTCCAAAAATGGTACATTTATGCAGTGGTACGTAACCTCCATGGTACGTAACGTCGTAACCTCCAAATTCCGCTCGAACTACCGATCTCTTGAACAAACTTGCACAGGCCCTCCTTTGTTCGAGCGAACTAAGTTGGACTGTATTATTAAAATTTGGTTTTAATCACACAACATGACTGCTGATAGTATTGTGAGTGCAATCTTTGTTTATTTTCCTTCTTGTTAAGTTGTTTTAAAATGTATGAAGTAATGTAAACTAAGAGAAGCACAGTAACCTATAATTTGTGTAATTTGCAACAAATACAACTAACGCATTGTCATGAAATAAATTTTCAAAATGTTCGACTTTTCTATGATCATTTCAAATGTTTATTGATAAAACAACTTAAATTGGCATCGCGAAAATATATGACAAATGGATTATCGTAATCATTTGTATTAAGAATGTAGAAAATTCTTTGTACCATTGAACAAGTATGTTAAAAAAACTGATTCTTTGAATACGTACAGGAAATTTTAAGGAAATAAACCAAAAATCTGTTTTTATGTCAGAATATCACAAAGTTTTTCGAAAACGGAAGTTGACAGTTTAGTTATTCTTTAATACAAAGTAGATCTAATATGTTTCTTATATTTTCTATTTTGACTTGTTGTACTGTACTATATTGACTGATTTAACTTGATTTATTTTATTCATTTAAATTGTTTGAACGGTTTTGATATCATTATTTCTATAATTATAGATAATTTGCATTAATGCATTAGGTTTAGAGAGTAAATTAAATGGCTGCGCCCATGAACACGTTTTGTTGACAATTTTGAAATAGTTGTATTTCAGAATAAAAATGTCGAAACAAAAGCATAAAGGGAAACAAGATAATACTAAAATTAAAAAACAATTGAAAGCAAAATTTAAGAGAGAAAAAATTCCCGCTGAAAAGAACAAACGATTTAATGATGGAGAAAAACCAACTAGCAATGTGAGAAAAGGAAAGGAATTTAAGAAGAAAGACAAAAAACCTTGGCAGAGACCTAGACATCAGAAGGAAGAAGACAATTCTGATTTTGAAGAGGTCACTGATGAGAAAAATTCAAAAGTATGTAAATGGGTGACATAGGCAAACTCGTCTATGTATACCTTGAAGTTTAATCGTCTAAACCATAAACAAGGTTCAGTATTTTGGGTACTGTCTTGTGTATTTAAAGATACCCGTAGGGGTCTACAAGAACTACGGAAACAAAACACTTCATCCCACAGACACTTCACTTGTTCACCCCTCAAGACACTTCACCCCCCAAAAATCAATAAGACCAGTGATTTTTCTCACTTAATTGGGGAGAGGCCTTAGCCTCTTGATTTTGGGAAAAATCATCCCTAAAATTGTTGATTTGGGAAGAAAAAGAGCAGGTTTAAGTTAAGATTTTTGGGAAAACTGCATGATTTTAAAGAAAATTTCAATTGGGAAGAAGCCTTTTTTCAGAGTCTGTTAAAATAAGTAGGAAAATCAATGAAGACACCTCACCCCTCATCCAATATTATCATAAAGTTAATAAGAACTACATGGGGTGACAATAATGTCAGAAGTCCAGGCATCTTTCCACCTGATACCAGATACAAAGTTGTTACATATAGCTTTTAAAAAGGGTTATTATCAGGTGTGACGTGGGCAAAATAGAAATTGAAAGTAAAACACAATAAAGCATATCCAGGGTACATGTGTATTTCATTCCTTGTCATAACAACACTTATAATTTCCATCATAACAATTTGCCCCATAACGATGCATTCAGGCTCTGGCATATAGAATTTTTTCTTTACACGTTTGCTAAAAACCGAAACAATACTATTTAAACGGTGGTATTTCTATGTACTATACTATACCCGGTAGCACTAAGGCTTCGAAGAGTACCAATAGGCAGTCTGTGCGAAAGTCTGTCGGTCCTCGGACCTCGCCAACTAAAAATCAGGAGGGCCGAGATAAATTTCGATACAGTCAGTCCTCATGTCCCAATAAAATTTCAGCCAGTTTGAAACAATTTTTGGCCTTCTAAAATATGCAAAACTTCCAAGATTTCATTCTTGCTTGTATTCACAGACCCAGATAACCAAAATCACGCCAAGATACAACCAGTTTTTGCTAATTAGTGTAAGCCACCATCTTGTCTTGGATAATTTCCTTACCAAAACATATTTTTTCTCCAATCTTCAAAATTAAACCTTTGAAAGATGTATCATTTTCTTGTGAATTATGCTAATGTTTTATTTATTATGTTTCTGTATATGTTTTTCATAGTATCTTATAGTTGAGTCTGATAATTCATATTTGCTAAATATTTTTGTTTATAATTATGGCAATATCCCTCCCCCGACCCTACAAAAAAATACCTTTCAGAGTTCGGGCCGGGAAAAAATCATCAGGGCCGAAAATAAATCTAAGGATCCCAGTCCTTGTGGAAACAAATTTTGACTTTCGTATTGACTGCAATAGGCCGATGCACCTAGCTGACAAAAAGTAGAAATGCTTATATATATAGAAAACACAACATGCAAAATCACAACTAAATAAACAACAATGAAACATTGAATAAAAATACTATGAATATGACCAATTGGTGCAGCCTTAACAAATTAACTTTGGCATGAATGACAAAATGGTTGTGCCCATGAACTCCAGTAAATGAATTCTGCGTAAGTAAGTAAGCCTTTATCACATTGGTTTCCGGGATCTTCCATGTGGGCCTCAGCTGATGTACACAACATAATTACAATATATAAACAGTTTACATGTACACAACATATACACAAATGTCATATTGAAATAGCAGACTTCCCGAAATACGTCGGTCCGACGGACATGTCCGATAAATTTTGATCAGGTCCGACGAGTTTTTATTCCGGATCGGTCCGACTGTCCGGCTTTTATCCAAGCCGCATGTATACAAAATGGCGTCGCTAAAGGTGCCAAACCTTGGAAAAATAAAAAATCTACGTCAGAGGAACAGGCAGAACAGCAGTAAAAGGATAAAAAGAATAGACCTGAGACAAAATTTAATGAAAATTAGAAGCAAGACAGTGAATCGTTGGTGTATGATAGGGAGGAGATGAAAATGCGCTGTAAGGAATGTGCCGATTTTTACGGCGAAAAAAATTAAAAACAAAAAGTTTCTTAGAAATACAAACACAAGTTATTCTTTGATTTTGATCAATTTTATTTGGTCCGACAGATTTCGTTTCGGTCCGACAGATTTTCATGGTTTGTCAGACCGAATGTCTGACAGTTTTTTTCAACTTTCGGGAAGTCTGAAATAGATCAATTAAATTGTAATGATTATTCAAGCAAAAACTGATTGTATGATTGTACAACAACAACAGAGAAAGAGTAAGTGTAAAACAAAATAAAGTATATTATGCATTCAAATTACAAACTGTCACATATGATTTGTCCCAAGAACTTAAAACTAATATTTAACGATGGATATGTATGTGAATGTGCTCAAAGCAAAAGTGAATTATTTTTTTTCAGAATATTGAGGTTGATTATGACTCTGATGTTGACATAGACCAGGAACAAAGTGATGTACGCAAGCTTGTTACACAACAGAACAGAAAGAAAAAGAAATCAGGAGGCTTCCAGTCTATGGGTAATAATTCCACACTGCAGTATTTGTTAATTTTTGTGCCCCTACGTTAGTGGCGGGCATTTAGATTTACCCTTGTCCTTCCGTCCGTCTGTCCGTCCTTCCGTCCGTCCTTCCGTCCGTCCGTTCACTTTTGTGTCGCACGTAACTCAAAAAGTATTTGACCTAGAGTCATGAAACTTTACAGGAATGTTGATCAGCATGTGTAGTTGTGCACCTGGGTATTTTCGTCTGGATATTTTTAGTATTTTCAGAGTTACTGCCCTTGACTTAGTAAAATTTTGCAATTTTCAACTTGTGTCGCATGTAACTCAAAAAAGTATTTGACCTAGAGTCATGAAACTTTACAGGAATGTTGATCAGCATGTGTAGTTGTGCACCTGGGTATTTTCGTCTGGATATTTTTAGTATTTTCAGAGTTATTGCCCTTGACTTAGTAAAATTTTGCAATTTTCAACTTGTGTCGCATGTAACTCAAAAGTATTTGACCTAGAGTCATGAAACTTTACAGGAATGTTGATCAGCATGTGTAGTTGTGCACCTGGGTATTTTCGTCTGGATATTTTTAGTATTTTCAGAGTTATTGCCCTTGACTTAGTAAAATTTTGCAATTTTCAACTTGTGTCGCATGTAACTCAAAAAGTATTTGACCTAGAGTCATGAAACTTTGAAGGAATGTTGATCAGCATGTGTAGTTGTGCACCTGGGTATTTTCGTCTGGATATAATTAGTATTTTCAGAGTTATTGCCCTTGACTTAGTAAAATTTTGCAATTTTCAACTTGTGTCGCATGTAACTCAAAAAGTATTTGACCTAGAGTCATGTAACTTTACAGGAATGTTGATCAGCATGTGTAGTTGTGCACCTGGGTATTTTCGTCTGGATATTTTTAGTATTTTCAGAGTTATTGCCCTTGACTTAGTAAAATTTTGCAATTTTCAACATGTGTCACACGTAACTCAAAAAGTATTTTACCTATCTAGAGTCATGTAACTTTACAGGAATATTGATCAGCATGTGCAGTTATGCACCAGGTTTTTTCTTCTGGATTTATTTAGTATTTTTAGAGTTATTGCCCTTCACTTAGTAAAATTTTGCAATTTTCAACATGTGTCACACGTAACTCAAAAAGTATTTGACCTATCTAGAGTCATGTAACTTTACAGGAATATTGATCAGCATGTGTAGTTATGCACCAGGTTTTTTCTTCTGGATTTATTTAGTATTTTTAGAGTTATTGCCCTTCACTTAGAAAATTTTTGCAATTTTCAACTTGTGTCGCAAGTTACTCAAAAAGGATTTGACATAGTCATTAAACCTTATTGGTAGGTTGCTCAGCATATTTAGATTTGCACATGGGGTTTCGCTTGTGAATTTATCTAGTATTTGTAGAGTTATTTCCCTTGACTTAGTAAAAAGATTGACAGAACAGTGGCGCGGTGGGGGCACCCGTGTCCTATGGACACATTTCTAGTTGATATTTTGTCTTTGACATCGTATTAAGAGGTCACTTTCCAAGGACCATAACTCTAGCTTGGATTTTGACTTAGTTTAGAGTCTTTTTGGATACAGAAAATTCCTGTGACAACAATTTTCAAAACTATTGAGGGTATTCACTTGAATCTTAATAGTGTTTTATGACTTATTATTGAAGATCACTTTCTAAAACCATTAACTCTGACATGGATTTTGAATGAATTATGGTCCTTAGTGAAAAAAAATCCTGCATCACTTTCGAAGACTCATAACTACAATTGTATGTCATACACAGTATGACTTGTGTTTTTAGCTCACCTGTCACAAAGTGACATGGTGAGCTTTTGTGATCGCTTGTCGTCCGACATCTCCTCATAAACCGCCAAGCCAATTTCATTCAAACTTCACAGGAATGTTTCTTTGGTAGTCAACTCAAAGAATTTAATTCCAAGAAGAACTCTGGTTGCTATAGCTACCCCAAAAAACAAACTTTAGATATCTTCTTTTAGAAAACGGTAAGAGCTAGAGCTCAAATATGTGGCATGAAACATCATCTAGTCAGTGTCTACCAAATTTGTTCAAATAAATGCCCTGGGGTCAAAATTGGCCCCTGCCCCTGGGGGTCATTGATTTTCCTTATTTGTATATAGTAAAAACTTAAAAAAATCTTCTTTTAAAAACCCCAAATAGCTAGAGCTTAGATATTAAGCATGAAACATCTTCTAGTGGGTGTCTACCAAGTTTGTTCAAATAAAAGCCCTGGGGTAAAAATTGGCCCCGCCCCAGGGGGTCATTGTTTTTCCCTTTATGTATATAGTAAAAACTTAAAAAATCTTCTTTTAAAAACCCCAAAGAGCTAGAGCTAAGATATTTAGCATGAAACATCTTCTAATGGGTGTCTACCAAGTTTTATCAAATAAGGGTCCTTGGCTTAAAATTGGCCCCGCCCCAGGGGTCTTTGATTTTCCTTATATGTGTATAGTAAAAATCTTATAAAAAGAGCTGGCGTTTAGCTACTAAGCATGAAATATCTTCTAGTGAGTGTCTACAAAGTTTGTTCAAATAAAAGACCTGGGGTCAAAATTGGCCCCTCCAAGGTGGGGGGGGGGTCATTGATTTTCCTATATGTATATAGTAAAAACTTAAAAAAAATCTTCCTTTAAAAACCCCAAAGAGGTAGAGCTTAGATATTTATCACAGACATCTTCTAATGGGTGTCTACCAAGTTCGTTCAAATAAAAGCCCCTGGTTTAGAATTGCCCTTGGCCCAGGGGCCTATATACAGATGAGCGATTTCAGGGCCATCATGGCCCTCTTGTTAATAAAATCATCATGTTTGTTAATTGCTTTATTATTTACTATCAAGCACTGAGAAAAGTTTTTTTTTTGTGCTAGTGATTTTTTAAGGCCAATTCCATGCTCCACCTGAAAGAGTGTATAAATTATAATATTGTTTTATAGAAACATTTTCTTTCTAAAAGAGTTTTATAAAATAAAGAAAACCATGAAATGTTTTGGAGTGATTTAAACTGTGGAAAGCAGTTTCATCTTGGTTTTCATATAAAATAGAATTGTTTAGCAAAGGTTGTTTCAAATTGGTTGATTTTGATTTTTTCCCCCAAATCATTTTTGCCAATAACAACACATATTTACCTATGCAATGGACAGAGTTTTAATTTTTATCTAAGACAACAGATATGCTAAGGAAAACAGCTGATTCGGGTAAGGGTGAAAGGGGATATTTTAATCTACAGATTGAAAGTACAACCAATTTTCACAGCATTAATTTTAACCAATGATATGGATCGCGATTCGCCAATCTGTTTTCAATGAAAACCCTGAATCTGGGCCGGCCAACTTTTCCAAAAATGTAAATAAAGAATACTTCCTTATTGACTCCAGTGTCCTGCCTTACTTCCACCTCTTGTTAGTCACAGTAGAAAGTATTTATAGAAAAGCTTTATTCATGTAAATGTTTTCATTTATTATCATTGCTATGTTATGTTTCAATCCAACTTTTGTTTTTATATATTTTAGGGTTATCTCATAATGTTTATAAAGGGGTCACACGGAAAGGTTATAAGATACCAACACCTATACAAAGAAAGGTAAAACCCAGTATGACAATGATTTTTATAATTTTTAAGATTTTTAAACATCTTTGACATGCAAGTACAATTTTCAAAATACCTTTAAATTTAAGGAACATTATGGCATAAGAAAAATAAGGTATAGTGTAAGTAATATGTTTTGAAATATATTTGTGTAGACATTAGCATGGTTATATGTTGTGTTATAAAAAGTTCGGACTGTAAAGATTGTTGCGGTGGCAACATTGTCGGCGTATAAAAACTTCAATGTAGTCCATATTTCAAACATTGTTTTTTTCTGCATGAAACTTGGAATACCTGTTCTATTTATGATGAAGTGCAGTTGTAAGGGATGGGGGTTCATTCTGTAACAATATATTTTGGGGGGAATGCCCCTTTCATTCATTTAAAGTTTTTAAAAATTGCCTATTAAGTAGAATGATTTTTAAACTGTGGAAGATATCAACATGAAACTTGGAATACTTTTTTATCATGATAAAGAACAGTTGTAAGACAAAGGGAATTATTCTGAAAGCAATATTTTATGAGTTATGTCCCTTTTTAGTGTACACTATTTATATATATATTAGTTGCTGCTAACAGACAAGAACAGTGTTAACACCCAATGCTGTGCTTTTCAAGTTTTGTTACAGTAGAGGTTATGGAATCATCTCTTCCACATTTTTATGTCATTCCATATGCTGCTAAATCCCTTTCCATTAGTAATTGTTGTCTAATTTCAAGTCAAAGACAAAAATAAATGCAAATTTAGCATGTTAACACCCCTTACCTACCTAGAGCCAATCCCTATCTGGCTAGAACCAAAACTGACCAGGTTCAGTTCTTACACAGTTGGTTGAGTAAGGTTCGCTACTAGTGTTTGAAGAGTTAAATTATTTGTTTTGTCATTATTTATTATCCCTATCATCTATGAGTGTTATAGAGTTCAAATGTTTTGTCATTATTTGTTAGACCATACCTATCATTATGGACGGGAAAGATGTTGTTGCCATGGCGAGGACTGGTAGTGGTAAAACTGCAGCGTTTCTTATACCAATGTTTGAGCATTTGAAGACCCACTGTGCCAAGTCTGGTGCGCGAGCACTTGTTATGTCACCAACGAGAGAACTTGCTCTTCAAACTCTGAAATTTGCAAAGGAGGTATGTTATAATTGTAGTACTTCATTTTACCTCAATACTTCTACCCATATTGTGATCTGATCATAAATCACCCACAAAGAGAATATTCCTTTGGCAATAATTCTATTATCATCATAGGGCACATGAATATTGCCCTCAAAGGGAATATTTCAAGGGAATTATTTCTTATTTCTCCCTAGGCCGTAGGGCACATTGAAATTGCCTTCATAGAGAATATTCCTGGGGGATATTTTTATATCACCCTGAGGCAGTCAAAAAGAATATTTCCTGGGAGATACTTATTTTTTCACCTTCCATTTGTAATTTTTCAGCTTACATTTAATAATATAGATAACACAGTTACGTTCATTGAACACAGCCTTTCCTTGTTGATCTTGTTTATCATATTTTTTGGGGATAGTACATAATACCAACCCTCAAACTGGTATATATTATCCCTCTGCAGCTTCTATCATAAGACTTTGCATAATAATATACAATGGTATGAAATTATAAGTAACATTTTGTATTTACATGTGATTACAGTTAGGAAAATATACAGGATTGAGAGCAGCTGTTGTGCTGGGTGGAGACAGAATGGAGGACCAATTTGCTGCCCTACATGCTAACCCAGACATGTATGTACATCTAGTGTCACATATCATTTATATCTGGAAAAAAAATGCTTCTTTGTTTCTGCTGCATCATCATTGTCATCATTATGTAAAAACTTTGATGTAGCCCACTTGTATGACAGGTTGTGTGCTTTATAAGAAGTCATTCCCACTCCTTTTATGCATGAATTGCCATCTTAGGATGACGTTATTTGCTGTTATGAATGAAATTGTCAATTCATACACTACTTTAATAAAAAAGTGCTCAATTAAAATATTAGTTGTCGTAATTTCTTTTTAGAAGTATAATTTATATAGAGATACAGGGCTATGTGAATTTATGTGACTGTGCTTTATCATCCAATATCATTGTATCGTCAATATGCTTTGCATTGAATCAATGACAGCAAAAATCAGTAAAAATAAGTAAAAAAACCCTTAAAAGCATGAAATAAATAGAGGATATGTGTTTCTTTGGTACATAACATCAAAATATCCTCTTATTTAATTACAATTTTATATTACAGAATAATTGCTACTCCTGGAAGATTTATGCATGTTGCCGTGGAGATGGATTTGAAACTAAAGTCTATACAATATATTATATTTGATGAGGCAGATAGGTAAGTTTTTATTGTGGCTCTATATCATGACTTGAACCTGTTACCTGCTGGTTATCTTAAATGATCTTGACCAGCTTCCATTTCTGGAACTATCCACTATCAGTTTTAGGGTTATCAAGATGAAAAATTAAAAGTTGGTAAACCTACCGTATAGAGTCTACTTACTGTACTCACCTAGGTGTTAGCGTCTCTGTCGATGTCACGCTTTGGTTCAAGTTTTTGTGTCCAAGTTGTTGTCTGTAGAACTATTGAAGGGAATGGGCTGAAATTTCACCCACTTGTTTTCTGTGATTATCTAACATTATGGGCACAGGTTCCTTGAACTCTGAGTTAAATTTTTACAGAGTTTTGCCCCTTTGCTTACTGTCAATTACTGAGAATAGTGGAGCATACTGTTTTACAGGCAGTTCTTTTGACAATTTTATCAGTTTTTCATTATTTTAATCTTTGAAAGAGTTAAACACAATGAGCATAGGGCTTATGTTGGTTCATGGTGTAAAGGTTTGTAAATGTTTGCTTTTTTGTTGTTTTATCAGAGACTTATAAATAAAGGGATAAATAAGCTCCCAAATAGAATATCTTCACGACCAGACACACAGTCCTTTGCACGAGATTAATTGGCCCTTGAAGATGGTCGATTTCCGCCATCTTATTTTACGTAAACGAATGTTTATGTTGTTTATTGGTCTTGATCACTTTCCATTTTAATATTATTTCCTCCAATTTTATCATATTTACACACACACAAAAATTAATAATAATTACAGAAATTTTCAATTAAGTTTCTTTGCGATTTCAAGATGACAAACATGGTCTCAGGAGATCTCACAAAAAATGAGAACTTGCGTGATAATTAATTGCTGGTACAGATTTTAAGTGTATGACATCATAGCTTCCTCTCCATTTGAATGGAGTTTGTGGTTTTATAAATGTAAAATTGATTATTGCAGATTATTTGAGATGGGATTTCAGGAGCAGTTAAATGAGATATTAAATAGATTACCAGAGTCCAGACAAACTGTGCTGTTTTCAGCAACATTACCTAAACTGCTGGTAGACTTTGCTAAAGCCGGGCTACATGACCCAATGTTGATTAGATTAGATGTTGACACCAAACTAAGTGATCAGTTGAAGGTAAATTTTGTTGTGGTTGGTCATATTGTGACGCACACTGCAGAATAAGTTATTATTTTCGGGATAGTGCATGATGTAGTACATTAATTTACATGCCTAAAGTAATGCACCAATGTAAGGGACTTTACATTTTAAGGTCTCATCTAAAAGACCAGAAGGAATGAAAGTAAAGGAGAGGGGAATTGAACCTGTAAGTCTGAATTACTAGTTCAACGGGTTATGTCAAGACCAAAGGTAAACACAAATATTCAATGTATACATTAAGTTTTATTATTGAGAATCATGTCCTACAATTTATTGAATTTAACACTTATTGGGCATGTGAAAAATTCACCAGATTTGGTCATAAAAATTTACTTGTTTGTGTCATGTAAAAAATTTGCCAGATTCAATAATATGAAAAATTCACACTATTCTGTCCTGTGAAAATTTCATCAGATTGCACTAAATTTTCTTTCTGATTCTGTAATGTGGAAAATGCACTATTTTTTTTGTGGTGTGAAAAATGCTCCTGTTTTTTGTGGTGTGAAAATTGCACCAGTTTTTTTGTGGTGTGAAAAATGCACCAGTTTTTTTGTGGTGTGAAAAATGCACCAATTTTTGTGGTGTGAAAAATGCACCAATTTTTTGTGGTGTGAAAAATATACTTGTTTCTGTGGTTTTAAAAATGCACTTGTTTCTTTTGTTAATTGAACTTTGTATAATATTAATTATTTCTGTATTGTAGCTTTCATTCCTGCAGTGTCGAGCAGACGACAAACTTGGTGTGTTGTTACACATACTGAAACATATGATACCAGAAGATGAACAGACTGTTGTATTTGCTGCTACCAAACATCATGTGGAATATCTCAACATGGTAAAGGCTGTCACATTAATTATCTCCCTTGTTTATGTGTTTAACAAAGGCCTAGCATGTAATTATTGATGCCGCCTGAGCTCCCCACTCTAAAAGCCATGAATTATCTCCCTTTGCAACATCTTAGCAGTCTGACTAGGAACTGTAAATTTAACTGCCTAAATTTGATACAATGAGAAATTCCAGAAACTTCATCTCCAATAGCCGGGGAATGGGGACATTTCAGTAAATGGTCAATTTTTGGATGAAGTAAGCTTGTAACTCTTCATTGCCAAAGATGCTGGTGGGGGGGGGGGGGGGGGAGATTTTCAGTTAAAACTTCACAGGACTGTTAGTCTCCAAGCCTAGTTGTGCATAGTATCTTGATTTTTCAGTAAATTAACTTTGTCCATTCTTTATCACCAAAACCACTTGGGAAATTTCAGTGAACATTTATGAAATTGTTTGTATTGTGTCATTATTTTCCAAACCTAGTTGTGCACTGTGCCATGATTTTGTGCATGATTTTTTTTGTGCACAGTTATGCTTGATGATGATTTTATTGTAAAATTTGTTTAGACTTTTTCCTTAACACTTCTAATGGAATTTCATTGAAGTTTTAGGAATGATATTTATCAAACGTGGTTGCCCTATATTACCGATATTTTGGCATATATTGCGAATTTTATGTCACAGCTTCCTTTTGGGGGCATAAGTCACTTACAGCTCAGTTACAGCTCTTGTTATAATCTTTTTGTGTGTACTTGTCTTACATTTATTCAATATAAAAAATAAGATGTACATCAGTCTCTCATATAAATGAAAACTGCTTTTTTTACAAAAAAAAAAGAAGATTTAATCATCATTTAAAATTCTGTTGTATGACGTGTACTATTAAGATGAAATTTTTTAATGTAGGTACTTCAGAAAGCTGATGTTTCCTGCACCTACATCTATAGTTCATTGGACCCAACAGCACGTAAAATAAACTTGGCAAAGTTCCAACATCGGAAAGTAATGGTGATGATTGTAACGGATTTAGCGGCAAGAGGAATTGATATACCACTTCTAGATAATGTGATAAACTTTAATTTTCCTGCCAAAGCTAAACTGTTTGTTCATAGAGTAGGTGAGTGATCGGGAATATAGATTGTAAACATTTTAATGACATTTTAGTTTGGCGTCATAGTCTTTATAAGGGCTTTTATAGGTACTTGTTTCCCCGACTCCTGAACGTGCTGGAACTTAAAGTCTGCGCCTGTACTGTCCGACTAGGCTCTATATTATTGGTACCTCAATTTTTAGCTCCTCTGTTTCCAAAAAAAAGTTGAGCTGTTTTGATCGTTGCAGGGTCATTGTTGTTGTTGTGCAAATACTATCATGTTGGCAGTAATTTAACCATTTTAAAAAGTAACAACATAAAACTTGGAAAACTTGACATATTATGACAAGGTGCAGCAGTTAGACAAGGAGCATAATTCTGAAAGCAATAATTTTTTAGTTATGCCCCTTTTTACGATAATTTAAAACAGGCAAGCATTAACACTGCATGCAGTGCTCTTGTTGTTTTTTATATGAAAATGATTAATCCCTGAAACTTGATTGCAGTGCACATTTATCAGGTAATGGGTTTGATAGTGTTATTGATGAGCTTATTGTCTCCTCCGTGCGATAACTAGTTAACTCCTATTTAATTCACATGGACTGTTACAGCACTAAGGTAATGATATGTGATCTTAGAATCATACATTGTTCGTCGATAATTTGTAAACTACTCTCGTGATAATTTGACAGGTCGTGTTGCTCGTGCTGGACGTAGTGGCGTAGCTTTTTCTTTGATAGCACCAGATGAAGTAGCATACGTTGTTGATCTCCATGTTTTCCTTGGAAGAACGCTAAAGTTTGTACCTCTTGGTAAACAAGTCAAAGGTAACCTATACTGATTTATGAGTAAATCTTTTATTATAGCAAGTATTTTCACATAATATGATAATTGGCAAAAGCTTTTATAAATTTAGTTCCAGTATTTTTCATTTTATTATTAATGGCCATAATTTTCATCTACTTTCAATACATTCAAGAGATCTCTAATTTTTGGTAATATTTATAGATTATTAGTCATCAAGATTTTTGACAGGTTATATGGCCCTATATAAATGGTTGTTTGGAAATATAATCCAAGCCACTAGGATTATATTGCAAACAGCTGTTTATATACGGCCATATAACCTGTATATTTATAAAGAATTTTAAATACAGCAAGCATCTTCTGTTAGAGGAAAAAATGAGTTTTCTTCAATAATTGACAGCAGTTGTATATATTTAACTATATAAACATCATGTTTATCTGATGAAAAGTGACATATCAAACATGTGGTAGATGTTATTATGAGAATGATAATACACTATTACAGATGAAGATGGTTTATATGGTACTGTACCACAAACAATAATAGATGACTTGTCCGAGACGATATTTGCCTGGCACGAGGAGTCGTATGATATTGTATGTATAATATCTGTTTATATCTCTTCATTTAAAACCATCTCCACTTAATCTTAAATGAAAATTTTAGGGAAAATTTCAAATTTTTTACTGACTGAAGAATGAACACTACGCACCATGATCAGAATGATTTGGTCTGCACTGGTCACGTGGGTAGAATCAGTTGGCACCAGCCAAAGGGTTACTTGCATATATTCCTGGTAAGAATTATCATGTAAATAACAATACTGATTGTTCTACGAAAAATGTTATATATCTTGTCACTTGTGATAAATGTAAAGAGCAATATGTTGTTCTAAACGCTGAATAGCCATAGGTTTGATATCAACAATTTTTCCGATCCGTTAATTTTCGACCAATGTCGCTACACACTTTAATAAAACCAATCATTGTATTAAGGATTTTAAATTTATGCCTATAGAGATTGTCTCCGATGATATGGAAGGCTTATTATAAGAATCATACTGGATTCATAAGCTTAACACATTTTCCTATGGTATGAATGCAAAAGTTTTATACAATATATAACTTTGTCGTTATTTAGCCGGTATACATATACATGTTCTGGTCAGGGACCATCAACCGGACACTTTTTGAACATTTTTCTATACAAATTTCATAATTTTAAAGCTAGAGGTACGAAAATTTGACACAGTACAGCTAGGTTCTTCTCCTAACTAACAAACTAGTTTGTTTAGTTCTGATTATGTTGACACTTATATCCGAGGTCCGTCAAGGAGGGTATCAAAATTACCTAAATTGTGCACACTACAGTACCATGTGTCCGGACAGATATGTAATAACGTTGATTTAATTCAGATAAAAGCTTTGATGTTCTTTTTTTTATGCCACCGCAGCATCTGCGATGCGGTGGCATATAGCGATTCACCTGTGTGTTTGTTTGTGTGTGTGTGTGTGTGTTATATAGATTATATAGTGAACTTAAAAAATCTTCTTGTGAAAAACCAGTAGTCCAATTTCAACCAAACTTGGCAGGATTGTTCCTTGGGTGAAGGGCTTCCAAAGTTGTTCAAAGAATTTCATTTCATGCAGAAATCTGGTTGCCATGGCAACCAAAAGGAATTATAAGAATGAATTTAAAAAATCTTCTTGTAAAGACCCAAAAGGCCTAGAGCTTAGATATTTTGCATAAGGCATTGTCTGGTAGACCTCTAACAAGATTGTTCAAATTATAGCCCTGGGGTCAAAATTGGCCCCGCCCCGGGGGTCATTGATTTTCACTATATGTACATATAGTAAAAACTTAAAATACCTTCTTGTAAAAACCCAAAAGGCCTAGAGCTTAGATATTTTGCAAAAGGCATCATCTGGTAGACCCTTACCAAGATTGTTCAAATTATAGCTCTTGGGTCAAAATCGGCCCTGCCCCGGGGTCATTGATTTTCACTATGTGTACATATAGTAAAAACTTAAAACACCTTCTTGTAAAGACACAAAAGGCCTAGAGCTAAGATATTTTGCATAAGGCATTGTCTGGTAGACCTCTACCCAGATTGTTCAAATTATAGCCTTGGGGTCAAAATCGGCCCCGCCCCGGGGGTCATTGATTTTCACTATATGTACATATAGTAAAAACTTAAAATACCTTCTTGTAAAAACCCAAAAGGCCTAGAGCTTAGATATTTTGCATAAGGCATCATCTGGTAGACCCTTACCAAGATTGTTCAAATTATAGCCCTTGGGTCAAAATCGGCCCCGCCCCGGGGTCATTGATTTTCACTAATGTACATATAGTAAAAACTTAAAATACCTTCTTGTAAAGACCCAAAAGGCCTAGAGCTAAGATATTTTGCATAAGGCATTGTCTGGTAGACCTCTACCCAGATTATTCAAATTATAGCCCTGGGGTCAAAATCGGCCCTGCCCCAGGGGTCATTGGTTTTCCTTATATGTATATAGTAAAAACTTTAAAAAAATTCTTCTAGCAATTGACAAATGCTGGAGGTTAGATATTTTGCATGAAACATTGTGTTGTAAACCTCTAGCAAGATTGTTCAAATTATAGCCTTGGGGTCGAAATTGCCCCCGCCCTGGGGGTCATTGATTTCAATATATACATATAGTAAAAAATAAAAAAATGTTATTTAATCTGAAGGTACAAGGCTTAGAGCTTTAATAATTGTTTAAATAATATCATCTAAAGGTACTCTACCAAAGTTGTTCAAATTTTGCCTCTTGTGTCAAAGTTAGCCCCGCCCTTGGGAGCCATAGGTATATCTTATATGTATATAGTTAAAACTTAAAAAATCATCTTCTCTAAATTTACAAAGGATAGAGTTAAGATATTTTGCATGAAACATTGTGTAGTGAACCTCTAGCAAGATTGTTCAAATTATAGCCCTGGGGTCAAAATTGGTTCCGCCCCGGGGGTCATTGATTTTCATTATGTACATATAGTGAAAAAAAAAATATTTGTCTGAAGGTTCAAGGCATAGAGCTTTGATGTTTGATATATGATATCATCTATAGGTCCTCTACCAAAGTTGTTCAAATGTCAAAAATTGGCCCTGCCCGGGGGCAGTGATTCTCATTATGTACATGTAGTAAAAACAGAAAATAAAACAAATATTTTCTGAATGGGAGAAAGCTATAGCTTAGATTTTTGACTTAAAATGTTGTTTGGTGGACCTGTATCAAGATTGTTATTAAACCCTTGGGTTAAAATTATGCCTTGCCCAAGGGGACAATGACCTACTTTCTTGTCCTTTGATGTACAGCAATGACATTTTGACCATGTGCACAGTTTTAGTTGTAAAATTGAACTTTGACCTAGATTTTGATGATGTGACCTACTTTCTTGTCCTTTGATGTACAGCTATGAAATTTGAGCCAGGCGGTGGCATAGCATTTTTCTCAAATGCAATCTTGTTTTTTTATAACATGACACACAATATTTCAGCAGCAAATGCTGATGTTTTGGATATTCTATTGTTTACTTTGCAAATAATTATTGCTGTTATATGAGGTCAAGCATTGCTTTTTTGACCCCCAAATTTCAACGTCAACATTCTTGAAATAGACATTAAAATATTACCATTTACGGAGGTTGAAATAAATTTATTTACTTAATTATAGAAGAAACATGCATTTATTGTTGATAAAAAAGTGACTGACAACCACTGAACAAAGAAAATTCTAAATCAAGCATTTTCGGGGCCGTCCGGGTTTGGTGGTTGTCCGGTTTTGTGGGTCCCCAACCAGTAGTATGTTTTTTCTCGTATCAAGGTTTTTTTATTATTATTAATTATGAGAATTTTTGTATCACGTGCAGATCCATATTATATGTGTAATTTATTGTATATTGCTGTATTTATATTCATGAAAGATTCTGTATTTATTTAATAAAGTTCTTTATTCCCGCGTTAACGTCACATTCTGTTTAACGTATAGTTAAACAGACATTGCGTCATTTGTCATTTGTTATTTTATAAACATCAATTTTTTCTGAGGAAGACTAAACGTCGAAAGCTTAAGAAAAGCGTTTGTTTTTATTGAACTGATTATATAGGTATTTGTTTGTAATTAAGACACAACACACCTCTGGACAAAAGCTTCACTTTTGAGTTATTGAAATATGACCTTGACCCATCAATGGTAACTATAATCTTGTTATTTACTAACAGATTAGACACATTGACATTAAACATCTTGTTTACTTTTTTGATGTTGATTTATTTCAGAAAGCTATGGTCAAAGTATGCAGTAATGCGTATGGTCATTATATACGATCAAGACCGCCATCTGCCCCTGAATCGGTGAAACGAGTCAAAGAAATGGAGAAACTAGGTCAACATATCGGCACACATCCAATGTTCGGTAATTATTTTAATCATGAAATATCATACTATTACCATAAGGAGTCATTATGATAGCATTAAACAGAAACATCAATTTCATTGACATTTAACAGGCGTGATTGGTAGCTCAAGTACTTTCATATATATCACAGGTTTTCTGCTTGAAAGATTTTTGGCTAAGTTATGGCCCCTCAATTACCAGCTACTTGTTTGGACTACTCTTCAGATGCAATTTCATCAAAACTTAACAGTAATGGTCAATACTATGTCTTGTTTTATTTGCATTTTATTTAATGATTTTTGATTTTGGTCAGAATTATGTCCCTTTAATGATTTTAATTTTTAAAATTTGTACAGACTACTTCTCTTATACCACTAATACAGTTTCAATGAAATTTTACAGGATTGATCTGTAGCTCCAGTACTTGCGCATATTACACAGGTTTTTCGGTTGAAGGATTTTTATCGCCCTTGAATAAATGTGTTTTGTAGTGTAAATAATTTTTGTGTCTCCTGCTATGCAGTTAGGGCAATGTCAACTGCAAACAAGAACTATTGAAATTACAAAACAATTAATAATTAAATTACAATACATGGATCATTATAACTAGGAGTTTACTTGATTGTAGATGAAAATAATGTTACAAATTTATGTTCCGTTTTTAACCAGGTTTTCCGAAGGAAAATACTGGTTATTAGCTTGAGGTATGTCGGCGGGCGAGCGGGCGGGCGTAAACAATTTCTTCTGTGCACAACTCCTCCTACATTTTTCAACAGATTTTGACCAAACTTTCACAGAAGCTTTGTCATCAAGTGCCCTGGCGCATATTGTCGGGGTTTTGTGATTGGATAATATTTGACCTAATTATGGCCCTTTGTTTTTTTCCCAATATAGGATATATAGTGAACAATTTTCTGTGCGCAACTCCTCCTACATTTCTCAACGGAATTTGACCAAACTTTCACAGAGGCTTTGTCATCAAGTGCCTTAGGGCATATTGTCAGGGTTTTGTGATTGTATAATATTTGACCTAATTATGGCCCTTTGTTTTTTTTCCTTATACAGATTATATAGTGAACAATTTTTACCATGCGCAACTTCTCCTACATTTCTCAACAGATTTTGACCAAACTTTCACAGAAGCTTTGTTATCAAGTGCCCTGGCGCACATTATCGGGGTTTTGTGATTGGATAATATTTGACCTAATTATGGCCTTTTGTTATTTTTCCTTATACAGAAAATATAGTGAAAAAATTCTTCTGTGCTGAACTCCTACATTTCTCAACGGATTTTGTTCAAACTTTCACAGTAGCTTTGTCATCCAGTGCCCTGGCGCATATTGTCGGGGTTTTGTGATTGAATAATTTTTTTATTTAATTATGGCCCTTTGTTTTTTTTCCTTATACAGAATATAATTATAGTGAACATTTCCTCTGTGGAAATTCCTCCTACATTATTCATGTTTTACATTGCACATAGTTACATTGTTTTCAAATACAACATATTTATCTACAATGGTGATAATTGAAAACCTGGTTTCATGGCATTGCCATGTTTCTTGTTTTCATTTTATACGCCCAAAAGTATTTTGGCATATATTGTTATGCCCCTGGTTGTCTGTCCGTTATCAGGTTTTTGTGTTCGGTCTGTATCTTTTAAATCAATGGAAGGAAATTGTAATTACTCAGTAGAAATGTATACCATAATAAGACAATGTGCAAAGCGCAGGTTTGACCTTTCTCAGGTCAAGGTGAAGATCACACTTAGTCATTTTGTATCAATATTTTAGGTTTATGTGACTAAAAGTTTATGAGACTATGGGTTTATATGACTATATGTTAATGTTACTATAGGTCTATTTGAAGGTATAATATATATTTACAGGTTTAGATACAGACAGCTCCGAAGCAGAAAGACTTAATCTTCTGAATGCATTAAAGTCGTACAAGTCTAACACAGTAAGTATGCTCTCATTATTATCCCAAACACCACTCCTAAATTGATTGTCAAAGAGGTTAATATTTTGACAAGTTGACAATACAATAGAGGTCTGCTTGTAAATGTTGTTGTATATAAGTTTCTTTATACTGGGCACCGTAATAATTGGGAAACAGACAAAAGCCCTCCCGGACAAAAGCCCCCCAATCCAAAAATGACAAAGCGTACAAATACTGTCCGCATTGTCATTTTGACCGAGAGAGCTTTTGTCCGGAAGGGTTTTTGTCCTACACTCGGAATAATCATACGGGCCAAATGGGTCAATGGGAAAATTTTATGATACCATTCTTGTAAAAGAGGATATTAATCTACAGAAGGTTACACTTGAACATGCCCAATATTTTAAATGGACTTGTCCCACTTCCATTTTGGGACTGTCCTTTATCAATTTTAGGGATATCAGTTTGAAAATTTAAAGTTTGTCAGCCAACAATATAGAGCCTGGTCAGACTGCACGGATGTGCAGGCTGATCTTGCTCTATACTTGTGGCAAAGGCTAAACGATTTTGGTTCCAGCACTTAAAGGGTCAAGTTTGCTATGTTATCGGCCAGTTTCTCTTATACCCAGAATTAACATTTATAAAGTATTAAAATTTATGTCATTTTCATAGTGTGATATTAACTTTAATGAAAAGAGAAGGTAAAATAAAAACTATGTATTGTCCATGTATCCAAAAATAAGATTACAACAGTCATTTACATCAGTGAATAAGGTAAAAAAGATTTACTCGGCTGCACCATTGATCATATATCCAAATATAAGATTAGAACAGACATTTACACCTTGAATAAGGTAAAAAAAAAATGATTTCATCATCTCAAGTGATTGCATCACTCCGCAAGGAGTATACTCGCAATTGGGTAAAAAAACTGTATATACATACGTAGCAGGCAGGACTGACTGTTTTCCAAAATAAAAATAAAAAGTTTCCCTATTTACAGGTTCTATTAAAAGAGTAAAAACAACTCCGTGATTAGTAGTTTATATGTTGGCTGGCCAGAGCTGATTGGAAAGCATCCAGGCTGGTCTGGTCAACAACGTCTTGATTTACACAGCTGCAAACAGAAGAAGGTAAAATAGAAAGTATTTATTTCTAAGATTAGATCAGACATTTATATTACTGAATATATTTTTTGTTTCTAGACGATTTTTGAGATAAATTCAACTGCAAAGAACAGTAGTTTTAATGTGATGAAAAAGAAGAGAAATTGGCATGATAAAGTGGTGGAGAGTAAAGTAAGGCATGCCGAAGAGAATCGACTTGAACCCGGCAGTAATAAAGAGGAATTTGTGGGAACCAGTCAACAGGAAACAGCTGATGATGCTGACATTGAGGTAACTTTCTATTTTTAGATTTTAAGGAGTATGGTTTTCTCATTTACATCACTTATTATACCCCCGCACAACAAAGTTGTAAGGGGGGTATACTGGAATCAGCTTGTCCGGCCGTCCGTCGTTTTTTTCTTGTCCGCCCAATAACTTAAGATTCCTTTGACCCTTAGTCTTCATATTTGGCATGGAGGTTAGTCATGATTAGTAGATGACCCCTATTGATTTTGAGGTCACTAGGTCAAAGGTCAAGTTCAAAAAGCTTGTCCGCCCAATAACGTAAGATTCCTTTGACCTACAGTCGTCATATTTGGCATGGAGGTTAGTCATGATAAGTAGATGACCCCTATTGATTTTGAGGTCACTAGGTCAAAGGTCAAGGTCACAGGGGCCTTGACTTCAAAAAGCTTGTCCGCCCAATAACTTAAGATTCCTTTGACCCACAGTCTTCATATTTGGCATGGAGGTAAGTCATGATTAGTAGATGACCCCTATTGATTTTGAGGTCACCCGGTCAAAGGTCAAGGTCACAGGGGCCTTGACTTCAAAAAGCTTGTCCGCCCATTAACTTAAGATAACTTTGACCCACAGTCTTCATATTTGGCATGGAGGCAAGTCATGATTAGTAGATGACCCCTATTGACTTTGAGGTCACCAGGTCAAAGGTCAAGGTCACAGGGGCCTTGACTTCAAAAAGCTTGTCCGCCCAATAACGTAAGATTCCTTTGACCCACAGTCTTCATATTTGGCATGGAGGTTAGTCATGATTAGTAGATGACCCCTATTGATTTTGAGGTCACCAGGTCACAGGGACTTTGACTTCAAAAAGTTTGTCTGCCCAATAACTTTAGATTCCTTTGACCCACAGTCTTCATATTTGGCATGGATGTTGATCATGATTAGTAGATGACCCCTTTTGATTTTGAGGTCACTGGATCAAAGGTCAAGGTCATAGGGACTTTGACTTCAAAAAGTTTGTCCACCCATTAACTTAAGATTCCTTTGACCCACAGTCTTCATATTTGGCATGGATGTTGATCATGACTATAAGGTGACCCCTATTGATTTTGAGGTCACTGGGTCAAAGGTCAAGGTCACAGGGACCTTGACAAAAAAGCTTTTCTTCTTAATTGCTAAAGAATGTCCTGTCCGCAATGTATTGATTTTGACATTTTCACATTTGAAGCATGTAGAATACATAACTTAGCAATGCACTGGCTTAGTAACCTCAGATTTGGCAGGGAGGTTGTATTTGAGCTCTAAATGGCCACTGTTGATTCTGACAAAGTGGTATGCGGGGGTATTCACGCCATGATAGTGGCAGTTCTAGTTTTAATTTGTAAAGTTATGATACCATCCTGTTAGTGCATTAATACATAAATTAGGACCATGAATCTTCTTTCACCAATAAAGATGATTTTTGCCATATATTATAAACAGTGTTTGTTTTTATGCACCCGCCATGTAATGGCCGGGGTATATAGTGTTACCCTGTTCCGTCATTCCGTCCTTCCGTCATTCTGTCATTCCGTCATCATCAGTTTCCGTTCATTATCTTAAGAACGGTTGCACACATTCAACTCAAATTTGACATATGGATATGTCATGAGAAAATACAGGTCAAGTTCGAATTTGGTCATGGTTCGATGACTTTTGGCAGAGTTATGTCCCTTTTACTTTGAAAATATATGAAATTTTCAGTTTCCGTTCATTATCTCCCCAACGGTACAACACATTCAACTCAAACTTGACATATGGATGCGTCGAAGGAATGCGCAAGTCAAGTTCAAAGTTGGTCATGGTTCAATGATTTTTGGCAGAGTTATGCCCCTTTCACTTTGAAAGTAATATGAAATTTTCAGTTTCCGTTTATAATTTCCCAAATGGTACAACACATTCTACTCAAATTTGACAAATGGATATGTTTTTGGAAATCTGAAATTTTGGCTGCATGCGGGGGCATCCGTGGCATGATGACACATTTCTAGTTTAGAAACAATTCCCCTACGGTAGGCTACCCCACTCCCACAAAAACGCCTTGTATTGGTTATTGTATATGTGAAGTAGAATTTTAAGAGTCAGTACATTTATCTGCCCGAGGTAAACTCTATCTGAAACATTTTCCAATATCAAGTGTTGATCAACCACCATTTTAACAGTCAGTGTTTTGAAATGAATTGTCAGTTCACTTCTACTTGACAATGAAAAAAATGAGCATAATTTTGTTTTGATTTGTAGAATGCATTTAGTGTTGTGATTGGTGGAAAGCTCTCAAAAGCTAGTGAGAAGAACCAATCAGAAGCCAGTTTACAAGTGGGCAAGAAGAGAAAAAGGAAGGAAAAAGAGGGAGTGAGAGATGAGGAGAACTATGTATCATATAGACCTTCAGATTATCAGACAGAACAAGGGTAAAACAATACTGTATATATACTCATATAAATACTGTATACACTAATATAAATACTGTATACATTCGTATAAATACTGTATACATTCATATAAGTACTTTATACACTTGTATTAATACTGTATACATTTGTATAAATATTTTTATGCTCCCCGAAAAATTTCGGGGGAGCATACAGTCGGCGCCTTGTCCGTCTGTCCGTCCGTCCGTCTGTCAGTCCGTCCGTCTGTTGTCTTGTCCGGAGCATAACTTGAAAACCCTTGGAGATAATTTGTTGAAACTTCATACAGTGGTAGAGGGCAGCAAGGGGGAGTGCAGTGTCAAAGAACCATAACTCTATTTTGCCCGGTTTTTGAATTATCTCCCCTTATAGAAAAATCTTGTCCAGGGCATAACTCTAAAACTATAAGAGATATCAATATGAAACTTTGTAGGTGAATAGATCTCAATGGGTAGATGTGCAGTGCATAAGAACAATAACTCTTTTCATCTTAATTTTGGAGTTATTGCCCTTTGTTAATTTTAATACTTTGAACTTTGTCCGGAACATAACTTGAAAACCCTTGGAGATAATTTGTTGAAACTTCATACAGTGGTAGAGGGCATCGAGGGGGAGTGCAGTGTCAAAGAACCATAACTCTATTTTGCCCGGTTTTTGAATTATTTCCCCTTATAGAAAAATCTTGTCCGGGGCATAACTCTAAAACTGTAAGAGATATCAACATGAAACTTTGTAGGTGAATAGATCTCAATGCGTAGATGTGCAGTGCATAAGAACAATAACTCTTTTTGTCCTAATTTTGGAGTTATTGCCCTTTGTTTATTTTAATACTATGAACTTGAACTTTGTCCGGAACATAACTTGAAAACCCTTGGAGATAATTTGTTGAAACTTCATACAGTGGTAGAGGGCATCAAGGGGGAGTGCAGTGTCAAAGAACCATAACTCTATTTTGACTTGTTTTTGAATTATCTCCCCTTATAGAAAAATCTTGTCCGGGGCATAACTCTAAAACTATAAGAGATATCAACATGAAACATTGTAGGTAAATAGATCTCATTGAGTAGAGGTGCAGTGCAAAAGAACAATAACTCTTTTCATCTTAATTTTGGAGTTATTGCCCTTTGTTAATTGTAATACTTTGAACTTTGTCCGGAACATAACTTGAAAACCCTTGGAGATAATTTGTTGAAACTTCATACAGTGGTAGAGGGCAACTCTACCTTGCCTAATTCTGGAGTTATTGCCCTTTGTTTATTTTTACTTTTTGAATTGTCCAGGACATAACTCGGAAATCATAAGAGATATCATCAAGAAACTTTGTAGGTTGATAGATCACATTGATTAGAAGTGCAGTGCAAAGAACTGTTACTCTGCCTTGCCTAATTTTGGAATTATTGCCCTTTGAACTTTTTCCATGGACATAACTCTGAAACTACAAGAGGTGTACTTTCCTGTGTCCAAAACCTATTCGGGGAGCATCACCCGGCTCAAACCGGGCTCTTGTTTTATATGCTTTAATAACATAATTACTGGTGATAAGAACAGGGTATACTGTTATAAACCAACTTGCAAGGTTTGTAACTGAATATGGGCAACTATGAATATGAAATAGCTAAGTATTGCTAAATTTATGGGAACTGTAAAGACTGGTATCATTATTGTATAAACTTCTTTATTTCAAAGAGGATATTAAATTTTGTTTTTGTTTTTTTATATGACGAAATTTTATTCCATCTTGTGAGCTTCAAAAGCAGTATTCTAAAGCATGAAATAAAACACTCACCATCTTGTAATATAATTTAACTTATATACAATGTATATATATATACACACAAATACATGTAAGTTTACTGTGTTACAGATTACGACTAGGAAGTAGTTTTGACAGAGAAGCATCAGGAGCAATGTTAGATCTTACTGGTGATGATGAAAGTATAGCTAGAAAGAGAAATAATGCTTTAAAATGGTTAGTATATTACACTTGACCTTTAAAATGGTTAGTATATTACACATGACCTTAAAAATTGTTAGTATATTACACATGAACTTTAAAATGGTCAATATATTACACTTGACCTTTAGAATGGTAAGCATATTACACATGACATGACAGGATTGTTATTGGTGAAAAATTTTGTTTTGAGATATTGAAATCCAAATTCAATGATATATCAGTATATCAAAAACAGCTTGTACAGTGGAAACCTTTTGAAACGTGTTATTACTGAAAGAAAGTATGCTTTCTTATTATCATTTCTCATTGAAAATTAAACAAAGGGTTCAAGCATACCTGTATATTAAAATTATATCTTACTAATGCTTATCTAAACCAGACCAACGATACATCATTATTTTAATACATGTACATTGTATTTATTCCAGGGATAGAAAGAAAAAGAAGTATGTGAGAGAAAGTAATGAAGATCCAAAGAAGAAGAAGATACGGACAGAGAGTGGAGCTTTGATACCTGCCTCCTACAAATCTAATGCATATCCTTTTATTTCTCTCTACCCATGTGGTCAAGGAAATCCATGTGTCCAAGGTTACCTATGTGTCATGGTTACCAATCTGGCCAAGTTTACGCATCTGGTCAAGGTTACCTATCTGGTCAAGGTTACCCATCTGGTCAAGGTTACCATGTAGTCAAGGTTACATCTGTGATCAAGGCTACCCATGTGGCCATAGTTACCCATGTGTAAAGGTTATCCATGTGGTCAATGAAACCCATCTGGCCAAGGTTACAAGTGTGGTCAAGAAAATCCATCTGGTCATGTGACGTAGGAAACCTATGTGGTCAAGGTTATCCATTATTGTGGTCAATGTTACTTATTTTGTCAAATTTACCCATGTAGTCAAGGTTACACATTTGGTCATGGTAACCAGGTTTAAATTTGACCCTCTTACCAGTATGATGGATTCCAGCCTGTTAGAGTGATTTCAAGTGATGAAGATACTCGGATGACATATAAAAACCCAAAAAGTTAGAGCTTAGATATTTGGCACGAAACATCTGCTAATGAGTGTCTATCAAGTTTGTTCAAATAAAAGCCATGGGGTCAAAATTGGCCCAGCCCCAGGGGGTCATTGCTTTTCCTTATATGTATATAATAAAATCTTAAAAAATCTTCTTTTAAAAAACAAAAAGAGCTTGAGCCTAAATATTTGGCATGAAACATTGTCTCATGAGTGACTACCAAGTTTGTTCAAATAAAAGCCCTGGGGTCAAATTTGGCCAATGCCCCGGCGGGGGGGGGGGGAGGGGGGGGGTCATTGGATTTTCCTTATATGTATATAGTGAAAACTTTAAAAATCTTCTTTTAAAAAAAAAACCAAAGAGCTTACAGCTTAGATAATAAGCCCATGAAAACATCTTCCCCGGTGAGTTGTTTACCAAGTTGTTAAATTAAATGCCCTGGGAATCCAAAATTGACCCCGCCCAGGGTACTTGATTTTTCCTTAAAATGTCTACGTAATGTAAAAACTTAGAAAATCTTCTTTTCAAATATCAACCCATAGAGCTAGAGCTTAGATATTAGGCATGAAACATCTTCTAGTGAGTGTGTACCAAATTTGTTCAAATAAAAGCCCTAGGGTTAAATTGGCCCTGTCCCGGGATCTGATTTTCCTTATATGTCTATAGTAAAAACTTTAAAAAATCTTCTTTTAAAAACCCCAAAGAGCTAGAGCTTAGATATTTAGCATGAAGCATCTTCTAATGGGTGTCTACCAAGTTGGTTAAAAAAAGACGCCCCTAGTTTAAAATTAGCCCAGCCCCAAGGGCCTATATACAGGTGAGCAATTTCAGGGCCATCATGTCCCTCTTGTTTTATTTTAATCTTCCATATCTTACTAGTTTATTTTATGTTGATCTGAATATTTCACTTGTTTATCATTACCACAGATATTTCATTATTTTGACACCTTAACATTTGATACATATAAAGAATGGGTGAAGAAAAGTAAGACAGACACACAGGTAGAGAAAGACGAAGACGATGATCTGTCTGACAAACAGAATAGAACGAAAAATAAACTAGCTGTACTAGGTGTTACAGAGTATAACAGAAGTAAGTAATTAGTATATGTAAACATAACTAAGTTAGTTTATACTAATTTATTTTAGTTTGATTGTGCTGGAAGCTATAAGCTTATTGAAACATTCTCTTGAATCCGTTCCTGTAACCAACCAGTACTAAGCATTGAGTGTAAAGTTTCTTGGTCAAAGAAACAACGGCTTGCCTTTTGCAGGGTTTGAACCCATGCGACCAGCAATCCTTTGATGTGTTAACTGCATGGCCACGTCGCCACAAAACATAACTAAGTAAAAGCTCAACTCAATAACAACTTCATTTAGTTAAAAGTAAAAGCTTAACTGAGAACTAATGTAAGTAAGAATTAAACTATTTAAAAAAACTTAACTATGTGAAAGAAAATATACTTTTCCATTTTATTTTTTTCACTTTTAAAGTGTCCAAAATGCCAAATGTAATATTTTTGTTATGTACTCTATCACTATTATAAGGTGCAATTCTATTACTGACTTACTCTCGTATTTTGTTTGTGCAGGTCATGCTTAGCGGTGAAATGAAAAATCTTTGACCTCATTCAAAATAAAAAATTGTAATGATTAGTTGAATTTGGTCTCATCAATGAAATTCAAGGCACACATGGAAACGTTAAGTACCCAATAATACGAGTCTCGTGCTACATCAAATCCCGTGAAAACTTAATATATTACATTTACATGTATGTTGTTTTAACATTAAAACACTGAAAATTTACCTTTTCTGTGTGTAAACTGTTTGGGACAATACTATCATATTTTATAATTTCCCCCCCAATACTTTTTCAGGACATGTTAAAGGATCATTATATTGGTTACCCAAGGCAACAAAAGAGATAAAATTTAAGAAAAAGGGTCTTCAGAATTAAAGAGACTCTGAGCAAATTGCAAAAAAGCAAGAAAACTAAAAGCAAAGAAAAGAAGCTTTCCAATCACAGAGACAAAGAAAACACCAGGTCAACAAAGCTAAACATAAATCTAAAAAATAAAGATGAAGATCCATACCGGATTATTGCATATGTTGGGATGTCCTGTTTTTATGTTCGCTTTAGTTCGTTCATATACATGCGCATCATGTAATATTTAAATTCAAATAAAAGAAATTTTAATTCTTGTTTGTGCAATTTTTGTTATAACAAAGACAAAACAATTAAAATTTGGAAATGGCCACCAAAATATTTGATTTGTTGTTCTTTTAAGTTAAAATATAAAGGGGGAAAAAACTTGCATCTATACACATGCTATGTCATGCTAATATGATATAAAATTAATGTAGATAATGAGTAAGCTTCTGGCAAGAGCTAACTTAATATTTAAAGGAATGGTTAAACAGGAGATCAACTCTAACCTGCTGACTGTAACTTAATGTACCATTGTAACCAGAATTAAGAGGGACATATTTTAATTAGTGGCAACTAAAAAGTCGTACTAGTGAAAAATGATTACTTAGTAGAGTCCTTCAAAATATTTACCATGGACCTCTTGTACACTTTTCCAGCCTAAGAATTCATTCTGAAAAAGCATTTTTGAACTGTTCTTTGGGTATTCTGTTTAATACATTGCCTGATTGGTAGAAAGCGCTTCCAACGGCACTACGGGACCGCGAAGGCAAGATTTGATGTATGAATTTAACCAAAAGTCACAAGGTGAGACGTCAGGATTTAGCTGCTAAGCGGGATGGAGCAAATCGTCAATTCTCAGGTCCCCTTTAATAAGCTTGAACTGAGGTCTTTTTTCCTAGGTAGCGGAAATTGACCGCCCAGGACGGGAATTATCCTTATCATAGTTATACATTACACCCGTCTAACGATTGTATGATATGGAAGGACATTTTCTACATAAACTAAATCTAGACCCGTTTTTATTTCTGACGCCCACGAATTTTGCAATAAGCTCTTTGCTCCTCTCTCAAATCACAATGTTTCTCAGTCATGTTTACAACCAGTATACAAAACCACATGTATTTAAATGACCTGCTAAAATTTTATTGCACGTGAAAATCGTGCGAAAATAATCTGCTGTGTAGAAAAAAATCAATAATCTTTCCAACGGTATATTATACATGTAAAAAAAACACATATATTTAAGTGACATGCTAAAATTTTATTGCACGTGAAAATCGTGCGAAAATAGTCTGCTGGTAAGAAAAAAAACAATAATCTTTCCAACGGTATATTATACATGTAAAAAAACACATATATTTAAGTGACATGCTAAAATTTTATTGCACGTGAAAATCGTGCGAAAATAGTCTGCTGGTAAAAAAAAAATCAATAATCTTTCCAACGGTATATTATACATGTAAAAATCCACATGTATTTAAGTGACACGCTAAAATTTTATTGCACGTGAAAATCGTGCGAAAATAGTCTGCTGGGTAGAAAAAAATCAATAATTTTTCCAACGGTATATGTAGCATGAAAAAAAACCACATTTATTTAAATGATCTGCTAAAATTTTTATTGCACGTGATAAATCGTTGCGAAAATAGTCTTGCTGGGTTTTGGTAAGAAAATCATTAATCTTCCCCCAACTCGGTATTATTTATACATGTAAAAAAACCACATGTTTTAAGTGACATTGCTAAATTTTTTGCACGATGAAAATTTGTATGCGAAAATTAGCATGTCTTGCTGTAAGTAAAAAAATCAATAATCTTTCCAACGGTATATTTATACATGTAAAAAAAACCACATGTATATTTAAGCTGTACGCTAAAATTTTATTGCACGTGAAAATCGTGCGAAAATAGTCTGCTGGTAAGAAAAAAAATCAATAATCTTTCCAACGGTATATTATACATGTATTTTCACGTGCAAATCATGGTTAAATTGAGTTGTTGCCACTATTTAAGATATGCCCCTCGTACAGAATATGAACATGGATGTGCAGACTGTCTTTGCTCTACAGTATACTGGCACTTTCAATCCAAGCTGGCAAAATATCCGTGATGTAAACATGATATGTGCTGCATTATTGTTTCATATTTTAAGACAACTGTGCTGTTTTATTAAGGACATTTTTTTCCCTGTGCATTGCTTTAGCTAAAGTTATTTATAACTTTATAACAGTCGAGGGTATTAGTTATAAAAAAAAACTTAGACATGTTATATGGCCTTCTATAAACGGTTAACCAGAGCAGTTAGTCGAGGTTATATTGCAAATAACAATTACTGTTTATATAGGGTCATATAACTCCTGTCAAAAAATCTTTATAACGAATTTATATTACTGCAAACTTTATTTTGTAGGGAAAAAAAAGATTTTCTTCATAAAAAACAGTCCATGAATTTAAAATTTATAAAATCCCCCTATTATCCCCAATGAAAAGCGACGTTTTCAAAAATGAGTTTTTTATCTTTTTTTTGGATGGATACTTAATCATTGGCTAGAGGCCTTCACCCGGACTTCTTAATATAAAAGAGGGATAGAATGGGGGGACTCTGGGGTTTTTAGTACTTTAACATTTTAAAAAAGGAAAACTATTCTTATGTTATAACATTTTTGTCCCTGAATATAGTGTTTTAATTATAGGTTTTATTTTAATGTTTTAAGAATCTGAATCAAATATTAACATCGTGACCAAAACCTGCCCCCATTAATACTATCATTTTCATTTCTCAAAAACCTTTTATTTTTGGTATCTTATAACAGTTACCAAAAAATACTCATTAGTCATTTACATGAATTATCGTTTGCTTCATTTTCTCTTTGGCAATTAAAGTGAATTAGTATTTTATATTGAAGTCAAAATACTACTTTGTTTACATTTTGCTACCTTTCAGACACATTACTGTACATTAAGCGCTACTTTCTTCATACTAACAATAAAAGTGGCAATCCATTATTTTAAAAAATTCAAACACGTTTAATTTAAAAAAAAAAAATGGATTTCTGGACTTTTTGTTTTTAATTAAGGGGCTAAATGTATCGCAAACAAAAAGCCCTATGTTATTATTCTAATCCTCTGATAACTTTTCCCAGGGGATTTTAAATAACTTCCTTATTTCATTAAGAATTTTATATCTATTTGACGTACTGTTTAAATTTTAATTTAGTTCCTTTACATCATTGTGCTCTTTCCCCCAATGTTAGACTATTTTTTTATTAACATGGAAAAAACATATGTTTACGTTTTAGTTACATCATTTTATCATCTATCAACATTGTCTTTACTCTTTTCTTCTAGATTAAAAGATTATATCTTCACCCCCGTTCCCGGGAATTAATTTTAATTTCCCGTTTTTACCGGTTTATATCTTTACTCTCGGTTACCGGATTATATATTTACTCTCTCGTATAGGATTATATCGTTACACTCTCTTTTCCACCAAATTATATTTCACTCTCTTCCACCAGAATTATATTCTTGAAAGTCTGCCACCCAGATTTATATTCTTGACTCTCTTTCGACCAAGATTATATCTTGAAATCTTTCCCATCGATTAATCTTGACTCTCTTCCACCGGATTAATATCTTTATTCTCTTCCACAGATTATATCTTCACCTTCTCTTCCACCAGATTATATTTTTATTCTCTTCCACCAGATTATATCTTTGACTCTCTTTCACCAGATTCTATCTTCGACTGTTTTCCAGCAGATATAATTTCATCTCTTTCCCCATCAGATTTATCTTGGGATCTTTCCACCGGGATTATAACTTGAATCTCAATTCATCAGATTATATCATTGACTCTCTTCACAAAGATTATATCTTCTCCTCTCTTCCACCAGATTATATCTTCATCTTTCCACCGGAGTTATTCTTTTCGATTCTCTATCCACCAGATTTATATATTGAACTCTCTTCCATCCAGATTTTATATTTCATATCTTCCACCAGCATATTATTAATCTTCATCTCTTTCCACTCCGAATATGTTGACTCTCTTCCCAGATTATATTTTCACTCCCTTTTCCACCAGATTATATTTCACCTCTTCCACCAGATTTAATATCTTGATCTCTTCCCAGATTATATTTAAATCTTCAACCCAGATTTATCTTCATCTCTTAAACCAGATATATTATCTTAACTCTCTTCAAAAATATATCTTTAACTCTCTTCCCGATTATATCTCCATCTCTTCAACCAGATTATCATTAACTCCCTTCAACCAGATTTATTCTTCACTCTCTTCCACCAGAATTTTTTACGTTTGTATTTTAAACTCTTTTAAACCCAGATTAATTTTCACTCTCTTTAACCCAGATTATATTTTAACTCCCCTTTAAACCAGTTTATATTTTAATCTTTTAAACCCAGATTATATTTTTAACTCTTTAAACCCAGTTATTATCTTCACTTTTCTTCCACCAGATTATATTGTCACTCTTCCCACCAGTTTAAATTTTACTCTTTTTCCCCCAGTTTTATATTTTTCATATTTTTTCCCCAAATTTATATCTTACTTTTTACAAGATTATTGATTTTAATTCTCGAAAGGTTAAAAATTTTAAAATTACAATAAAGATATTTTTTATGTTTTCCCTTTCCCAGATCGAAAGTTTCTTCCCAAAAAATAACTTTTCAAAATGAAGAAATAAATTTTTTTAATACGTGTTTTCCCAATGGTTTTGGGGGTTTAAAAATTTTCAAATCGTTTAGACACACGGTAAATTTTCCCAACTGGGGATTGAACAATTGCAGAGTTTGCCTAAAATTTTACATACCGCAAAACCATATATAATTTATTTATTAATTTCACATTTATTTGCTAATCAGCGCGTAATAATCACAATATTTTCTAGTATAATTTTTTACTGACACAATAAATATATTTAGACATGTTGAAATTTATACTGCGTCGAGGGTTTAGTGCGAAACAACTGCAAATCATATCACATAATGAAGGAGTGCCCGTTTCGCACAGATCCATCGAAATTATTTTCCCTAGTGTATTTTATAAAGAAAGCATGTTTTAATCAACCGCGATCATTATTGGTACATGGAACAATTCATTTCAGTTAAGAATTTATTTGTTTATTTTAAAAGTTTTGGAAATAGCTTTTTAGGTAAATAAATTGTCAGACAGAGAAAATTAAAAATGACAGGTGCCCGTAAAAAT